TGTTTTTTTTTTTTGGATTCCATTTGATTCTTTTTCTCTTTTTTCAGTCCCGTTTACCGCCGTTTGACTGCAAAACGAAACGATATCATTAAAAATAGATTTCCTCAGAATCGGTTTATTTATCGCCTATACTGATTTGTTGCATTAATGTGTTTTACTTAATCTGATCTTATTGATGTGAACACACTTTGCTTATATCAAGGAATTCCATTTGCCATTAGATTTGATTTCTAAAATAGTAAAGGTTAAAAAAATCAAATTAAATATTAAGAAATAAAGACTGAATGTTGTATAGTATTTACCATAAAATGGTACCTGCCCGATAGTTTACTCAAAAGACTAGCAATCGCATTTTAGCAATCAGATAATGACATCTTTAATAAGGTTGGAGTAATCTGATTGGATGTTGCGACGCAACATGTATGTAATAACTTGCCAAGAATCGATGCAGAATTACTAATTGGCTAAATTTAATAAATTACATGAACAACGGGAGCTAAGAGGTGGACAGAAGTAAATATTAAGACTCGGCGTGCTGTACAAATTTTTTGAAAGAATGGATTTGGCAGAGCAACAGTTACAAGAAATGTTGGATGAATTGAATTCAAGAAGCCAACTCACTTTTGTGCTTGAGTCGGGGCTCTACGCCTTAATTTTATTGATGTTGTTTGTTGGAAACTTTGCCACTATTTTTGTGATTGCGTTCAACAACAGAATGAGGACAATCCCAAACATGTTCGTTGCTTCTCTTGCCGTTTCCGACTTCTTGTTAGGGGCAATTTCAGCGGGTCCTATTTCTTTCACTGCATTGGTCAAATCTCGGTGGCCTTTCAACGACACAACATGCCAGTACCAGGGATACGTCGCTATAACTTTGGCTATGACTTCAACACAGACGCTAGCATTGACAGCATTAAATCGATATTTCCGTATCGTTAGCCCAGCAAAATATCGCCGTTACTTCACCGAGAAGAAAACCCAAATCATGATTCTTGCCTCATGGTTCTATTGTATGTGGGCTCCATTGCCGTATCTCCTAAACGGCAATAGGATGGTGTTTCATCCTGCTAAGTTCTTCTGCTATCTTCAGATCGATAGCGGTTCTTTTACAGCATTTTTAGTAACTGTGTACGTAGGATTACCAACTTGTGTGGTAATCTTCTGCTATCTAAGAATATTCCAAACTGTGCGTAGTCATAACAACAACTTCCAAACCACACAAGAGTCATCTAACACGGTCAACGTAGAAGAAATCAAAATAACCCGCTCGCTGTTTGTAATTGTTGTCTTTTTTAACCTGTGTTGGACTCCAGTTTTGCTGATAGACATTCTGGATACGATTCGTGGGAGCTGGTCACTACCTCGAGAAGCTTACCTAGCTTACAGTTTTTTAGCCACAATAAGCAGTGCTCTAAACCCTATCATTTATGGAGTGATGAATAAGAACTTTCGGAAGGAATATCTAAAAATTATTCGCTGCACCTTTTGTCGCTCGCAAGTGGTCGTAGAACCATTAAATTCAAATGCAAACCGAGCCATTACGGTAGTTTCAACCGTTTAAAGTTACAACTTATATTTAAATTGTTTGAAATCGGAAAAGAAACTTTGGTCTCCAGGATACTTAACAATTAGGTCAGGAAAAAGAAAAAAGAGGGTGATGATTTGAAAAGGACCAACAGAGCATACAGTTGTAAACTCTCAAAGCTTAGGAAAACGATTTTCTTATTCAAATTGCGTGAAACGTCACTTGTAAAAGCGTCATTAACAAAAACTATTAAAGATAATTTAAACACCTGTCTTAGAACCTCATGCACAAACTGCCTATGATAATGTTCGATTTTGGCTCCTTTCAATGAGGGCCTTTCCGCACTAGCGAAAAAGTTGTTTTTCAAGAAAAACTTTCTGTCGTCACTAACATTTCACAAGTGCGGATGGGTTGTCGCGACTTGACAAATTTTGGCCGAATAGTACAAATCTTCAAATGCACCGCCGACAAAGTTTGTACCGGGTAAAAACTTGTCAAAATCGACGAACTAAACAAAACCGTGATAACTTTGTCAATCATTTGTCATGAAAGCTACGACAAGCGTGTGATTGAACTGAAACCAGTTTACTAGAAAGGCAAAAATTATCCTTTGATGCAAATCTCAGGAATTCTAAAATTTTAAAACGACTTAGAGTAAATCCTTTAAATTGGAGCTGGAATTCCTCGGCAATCTAGGCTGGCCGGTATTATGAACAGATAAGACGTTGACGGAATTTGACGGCCTTGAAATTTTTCATGCGGAAGCAACAGACGAAACGAAAATGTTTCATGACAAAATTTGTCCTGGTTTTGTCGGGACAATTTTAGTCTAGTCCGTTAGTGCGGAAAGCGGGCCCTTACTAAAATTGGAATTCTACGAAACAATATTAGCGATATCGCATAACTTGCGTAAATAATCATTAGGGATGAGAGGAGACTTAGCAAAAAATCCATGCGAAACATTAAGGAACATAGAAGCCGGAAAAAGAAAGCAGCAACAAAATCACCCGCGCTGGACCACGGTTGTAATTGGTGCGGTGGGTAAACCCGAGTTGTGTATATAAGTTATCAGAATATTCTCAGAGTATTCAAAATCAAATTTCATTTTGCCTTCTGGCTTTTGATGAATAAGCGCCAACATCTAAGGTAGACTTCTCACGATTCTCACGGCGATGATTTCTTGGGACAGTAAGATGACAGAAAAACACTATCGTCGGGAATTTTTCCGGTAACATATGAAAAAAAAACTCGATATGCATCAAAATTAAATTTTTTCTTTTCGTAAATTGTCAGCTGGCCTGATTACTGAATAAACAATTTTAAGATTAAAATACGCCTTGGGAAAATTTACATTTACGGCACACCTCCAAATTGGAACAAAAAAATTTAATTTATTTGTAAATGGAGGGAGAAAAAAAACCAGAGGGACTATGAAAAAACCTGACAAGACCCAATAACAAAACTGATCCGGTGACACGCAATAGAGCGGTGCGGAACAAGAAAGTGGAATTGACGGTAAACACTTTAACCACCTGCAATGAATTCGCTTGCTAAGTAAACGAGCCTCTTTTAACTTCATGATTGTATTTACCTTGATATGAAAATGCCAGAAAAAAACTTAGTAAAACCCAACGAAGCGTTGTAGAAAATAAAGATGCAAGTATCGGCGAAGCGTCTTCAACCGCTGCACCGATTTTGCTCGCTTAACTAACAAACTCCTCTTAACTCAACCCTTTAACTCCCAGATCAAATTTTTAATTCTCCTTACTGTCAACCATACAATTCTTATGTTAGTTCAGAGAATTTAGTATTGGAGCGACTAATTGTCCCCAAATTGGTCTTTTTCTTTATTCTTAACACTTATCTGGTTGATATTGTACTGATATTGTAAGGAGAAATTCTGTCTTGGTCACTTGTGGAAGTTAAAGGGTTAACGACTTGGCTTGATATGAAGAAGACCAAAAGCTTTCGAATTACTGCTTTAAAGCGGGTGTGTTATAGCCTACAAGAGCCCCGATTTGACCCCCTGAATATGTTGTCGCGGAAGATTTTTTATAGTCATTTATTGAAAAATCTGATCAATATAAGGAGCTCTTCCTACCTGGCTCTACGAGCGCGCACTGTGTAAGGGAATCTTGTACCCATTGGATATTTGGGTGGTTAACCAGGTGGAGCTTATTTGCACCCATGAGATTTCCTTTCCAACTTGCTTTCATAGAGAAAAATGCTTCCGATTGTCATGGGCCATGCGTCCACCCTTCTCTAACCAAGCTAATACGGGTCTACAAGGGTGGAGCAAAAGGAATGAAAAAAGCCGCCTTGGTCATCTAAGCAAGCGGCCGGACTCGACAGCTGTTTTCAATGATTCTTATGACTCCATCCAGTCAGGTTTACTGAAAACGCTTGACATCTTTAAGCGTGGGTTTTCTTTGAACGGAGTGTGCATTTTGAGTGGTTTAAGCGTATTACACACCATATTCGTACTTCCAACAACGCCATATTCTTTCAATCCCACGTATGCGCTTTGGTTAGCTACACGCATGCACTTTACGGGTATTAGTGCGATTTGCTACTGAAAATCGAAAAACCGAAATTTAACCTCGCGCATTTCCCTTCGAAAGCCCGAGTGATAACACGCAGTCAAGGAGATATGATAAATTATGTTTTTTATTGGCTATAGGCAGTCACGACAACCCGCGTGACGTAAAGAGAATAAAGTGCACACACAAGTGATTACATAAGAATGATGCAAAAAAAGTTTGGATCCTGGTCCAGTCTATTTGGCCTCGTCAGAATCTACAGAAGAAAACAGATTTAAAACTGCAATCAGCATGATTAATTTGATGCTCACTAAAAGTGATCGATTACATGTAAAACTAAGTTATTTGACCCACCCAACGCAACTAAATGCTTGGCATCCTTGGAATGCTTGTCAGCTACGTGTATATATATATATATATACATATACCCAGAAGCCCACTGCTTCTCACGAAATCAAGCGTGACCCAAGATGGCTGGATACTAGCCGAGTTCTTTTTGTGAGGACGAGGCTGATATTCAGGCATCTTGACCAAACTAGCTAAGTCAATAGGGAATTTTTTTATGCAGCCAAAACATCTTGCTTTGATGAGAATCAACGATGACTTGGAAACAACAAAGAACAGGGAACAAAGCCAACTGTGTTAGTAGCACAATAAACCCACGAGCCGGATTCGGTTACGTTTTCTTTGTTTTCACTGTTCTCTGCCCGTTTTTTTGCGCCTCCATAGCCGGCATTGTTGAAAAATTACGAACTTTGTAAGTCTGCTCCAAGCAATTTTTTTCTTTTGCGAGATCAAAGCGGGCAAGATGGACCCATCTTGCTCGCTCAGCTTGCCCACTCAGTTACCTAATCAAAACGTAGGATTTGCTTCATATTGCCCTTGGACGCTGCTTACAATATAGTAATTACCCCTTACCGTAAAAGGGTTTAAATTCATCCGCGTTGCTCCAAAGGTGCGGGCTTTGTCAATTTTGAGGATTTCTTGTGCTCCTTTATTTCCCCGTTACAATGAAAGTTGCTCGACATCACTACACCATTGTGAGCCTCGCTGTTGTTGTTGTTCTTGCTGCTCAGGTTCCCCACTTTTGGACACGCGATTCCAATATCCATGCAGTGGACCTCAATTCCCATCCCTTGTCGGGGGTACCCCAGGGTAATGTTTCGATATTCACCCAGGCGCTTGCCAAGGAGATCGTAAGGCATGTCGTTGATGTAGCCGCACTTGCCAAGCCCTTTAGGTACCGGAGCAGCAAGGTTACCAGCCCGCTTTTGGATCATGGTATTTTGGCCTTTGTAGACTAGCTGCGTATCCTCCATGATAGGATGCCACAAAGACAGCTCAAGGTCGCTGAGGAGCTTTAAAATCCGATGGAACTCGTGCTGTGTGATCCAGCCGTTACAGAGGGAGAGATATGCGCCAAAGCCCATCCCAGTTGCCACAGCATGACCGTGAAGCATCCCAGCAGGGAGCTCATAACCGGCACTCCATGTGTGACCATAGGCGTGCGGTCGGCACTGATGCGTCTCAAACATATTACCGTACTCCGATCTCATGTAGCTAGAAATCAAAAAAGATAAAATAAGTAAATAGACAGCTAAACAAATCAAAAAATGCAGAAAGTAAAGCATGCTCTTGTTCCTTGATAAAAGCCTGTTAATTGTGAATAGTGAGCAAAACAATTATTAAAAATGGTTCAAATCGTTTTTTCTTTTTCAGTTATAATTTACATAGGGATTCGCAGTTTAATTTTGTTGAATGAATGCACACATTCCAAGGGCGTCGACGATTCTGCTGATTGCGCTAGAAAAAAAAGATGAATCATGTAAGAGACTGCAGTGAATTTTCTCCTTTTACTCCTTAAAGAGGACTCATGTCGATCATAGACACAGACAAACAAAAAAAGGTGTAGCCACACTAACTCTTCAAGAGCTTTGCCAACAATGAGATCACAAATATCTTGAAAAGCCGCGTGATCTCCCTCAAAATCCTCCATCACTGTGCCAAGTTTGGTCGACAAAATAACTGCGGCGTTCTGCTCAAGTAGGCAAAAGAGTTCTTCATCCTTAACAACCGCCATCTTAACTATCTCAGCAATGCCATGACGCATACAACCGAGCTTTAATGTGCGGAAAAAGCTTCTGTCAGTCAGTGCCAGAACAGGAGGATGATAGGAGCCAAAGAGGTTTTTGAAGCCGAATCCATCACAACCTGTGCGAGGTGATAGTCCAGCGTCGATGGCGGCCACGACACTTGTAGACAGCATCACGTAGGGTGTGTTACGATGGTAGAGGGAGGCTGCACACGCAATAACGTCGTGTAATACACCATTGCCGACTACCAACAGAGGCTCGTTTCGTCTAACCCCTAATGTCTTCAGCTGCACCAAGACATCCTGTAAGTTGGTGATGTCTTTGTCAATTTCCTCCGCGGAGGTGACCAGCTTGATCAACTCGATAGAGTGCTCGTCAAAGTAGGCCTGTATAGCTGTACCATAGATATTTTCCACGTTTTTATCAATGATTGTCACGCACCTGGTTATCGGGGAAAAACAAGGACAAGAGATTAGTCTAAGGATAGTGTAAAGTTCCAAAAGAATAAAAGAGATTAGCGCGAAGACTGTAAGTGGCCGTAACTTTGCCACCGCATTTTTCACATATGAATGAAGGGTAGATCAGCATTCTTCATGTAACATGTAAGGCAACCTATTTCTTGAAAGAAACGGCTGACACTCATAGTTTTTAAAGACTACCAGTGATATTACCGTGGCTTTTCGTTGGGTTTGACTCATCGGGTGCGTAAGTACGCGAGGTCAAACTGTTTGAAAACGTAGTAAATGTAGCCACCTGGGAATGAGGTAAATGATACAAAAGGAAAATGAGTCACGACTGTATAAATGAATTAATTAATTTTATTGTCAAACTAGCTGCCTGACTGACTGACTGACTGACCGACCTACCAAACGTCTGACCAAACAACCGCTTGACAAAAATTTACAGAAAATGAAGAACGTTCCCCCAGGAAACCCTCCTATAAATTAATTTCGAAGAACTATTAAACGCCAAAGAAAGTATTTGTTTCCAATTTAAACTTCCCTTCCACAATAGATTGTGCGCATAAATTAAGCTCCTGATTAGAAAGTGAGAGACAAACCTTCCGATGGGTTGATATACAGCCCTTAGCTCTGGATTGGTTGGGTTCAGAACGTCATAAACTATCTTGGCAGTAGTCGTTAAAGTATATCTACTGGTGATGGCAACAACTGATGCGTCTGGTTTAGCAAGAACTTCGCCACTACATCTTCCATATATGGTGGTGGGGTAAATTCCGTGCGGGTCAAATTTCTCAAGATACTCAGCATTCTCTATGTAACATTTAGGACAACCTGTTTCTTGAAGGAAACGGCGAACAGCCATAGTGCTTAAAGTCTTATCCGCCGTCAACATCTTAACGACCTCGTTCCACCTGGAAACTTTGGCAGCATCACAAGAATTTCTACAGAATGGAATAAAAGCAAGATGATTCAAGCCAGTGCCGGAGAAGCAGTAGATTTGGAAATGTTATCCCGAGCATTTAAAAATACTTATAAAAGTTTGCTTCTTGTCACGGTTTGAGATTCCAAATAGTGACTTAAACCGGCAGTTGACCACTGAAAAGCCGTTGCTCTGATTATCTGCTTTTTTGCATTAACCCCTTACACCCTAACATCAGTATGCATATTCTCCAAGGTGCTGACAAGGAGAATTGGTTTAACAATCTGGAGCTTCTATTATTCGTGACAATTTCCTTTTTTCTTGTGACCCCTACGTGTGATTTTGGGGGTGATATTGTAAGGAGAAATTAGATGCTATTCTATTGGTTGAAACCATCGCCAAATTAGTAAGATTTTCCTGAGTCACATAGAAGCGGCCAGGTTGCTAAGTAAATTCAAAATGGTGGTGTCTGTGGTCGAATTTCTAGCTCATATAAGACAATTTACAACAGGCCAGGTTATCATTTGGACCCCAAAATGCGGTTGGTGCCATAACTTTATGAATAGTTCTAACGGGAGGGGGCAGGGGTAAAAATATGAGGTTTCTGAAGTATACCTCTGTCCAGTGGTGTACCCTCTGGTTTCCTAGTTGAGAGATCGGCTCTAGGCTCTGGCCGGGGTAATAACAGTTTTTTTCCAAAATACCCCTCTCCACTCAGGAGTATTAATGATTGCCAGCACACCATCCGGGGAAATTAAACTAAATTTCTGGGAGGGGGGGTAGGGGGAGCCTGTCAGTCAGTATCATCGCAAGCTCGTCGCTTCATGTAATGAAACTTGGAGTACGTCGCGTTTTGATATTTCATGACTGTAGGTGTAATATAACTTACCTTTGCACAAGAGTAGCAAGTTGCTCTAAAACAGCACCGGTGGGTTGATTGTAGAAATACTTCAATTTTCTGATTATCAATAGGAAATCGATGTCATCATCAAATGATAACGAGAAATCTTTGGCGAACACATCAAGACGAGATGTGTAAATAAGGAAATCGCTGACAGCCTGGTGAGCAAAGACTTTCAGGACCAAATCTTTCACATTTGATGAAGAGGAATCAAAAATCTCTTCGGAGAGGCTCTCGATAGACTTGATGGACGAGTCTATGGCATTCTACAAGGAAAGAGAAGAAAGAAAAACTCGTAAAACGGATTGGATTATTGAAAATTAAAATAGGAATATGTCATTCCATAAAAGCCAAGAACTATCATAGTCTCGCAATTATTAGACAATTCCGTTATTGTATAAATGAAACTCGAGAACGTGTAGAGGGAAATTCTTCTTAAAGAGGAGGCCAGACTACTTGCCTCTTAAACTTTGCAGGGGGGGGGGGGGGAAGAGGAGTTGGGTCGATTTTTTTCAGGGTGTGTGCCGATGTGCCGCTGGCCTCTAAGAATCCCTACCTCATTATAGTCTATTCTGCGGCCAATTATAGAACCCAATCTTGTCGTTTGTAGTGACACGGGAGCAAACTTTTAACCGTGAATCTTCTAATCTTTAAATCCCTGACCAGAATTTTCTTACTTCCGAAGTCCTGAAAATGTGCCGCCCCATTTTAGTAACTCTGTTGAAAATACAACCCCATCATAATCTAATCGTGAGAATGCGACCCCATCCAGCGACACATCCCCACTAGCTTATCAATGGAAAGTTCCTCCCAACACATAGGTCATGAATCTCCCAGAATAAGGGAAAACAACTGACTCGACAGCCTGAACCCTCTTTATTTAATATACCTTCTCGTTTTCGGCAGCAATTCCGGAACAGACCTCCAGTTGGTTAACATTGGGCGAGATGACAGACATGATTTCAAATGTACTCACTTTCCTGTTGTCAATTTGTTATGCAGGAAAATCTGCGAAGAAGACATGAGAACCAGGTTAGAGACTATCCAACAGAGAAAATCAACAAATATTTAAATAAAGACGCAATGAAAAAAGGCTGAAGATGTGCAAGGGGATTGTACATGTTACGCATTACACACGATCACACCATGTAGTAATTACGTTTTTCGGGCTTCAATCCTTGCGATTGTTACGGATTGTCCCCTATCCGAGGGAAGTTGATGCGAGGGAAAAATGCACACAAAAAACCTAATCCGCAAAACTGCACCTCCGCGGGAATTTTTTGTTACAAGGTAATTATCATATCTATAAATTTGTTTGGTTTTTGATAGATGAATCTACTCAGCATTTTGGTTTTCTACTCTTATGAGAGAGATATAGGCTTGTTTACTGTTTTAAAGTCGGCTTTGTTCGCAGCTTCTGGTCTAATTTTGCCTCACGAAGTCAAGTTTTTGGAGGAATGAAGCCGCAAAATGAGGCAATCGCAGGTCTTGAATGCAAGTCAGAGTATCACAAGGCAAGTATCGTGAATTTAAGTGCCAAAGAGCAGAACTGTTCACAATGGGTTTTGAGCCTTTTTTCCCTAAAACAATGAGTTCTCTGTTGAACGAGCTTGATCGATCTATATGATTCGATATTAGCCCTCGATCTTAAATGCACTGTTACGTCCATAACACTTCTATGCACTTAAATATTATGTCCATAGACTGTGAAAGAACGGCCAATATCCTCCAGCCTATAGAAGCAATTGAAAAACTAGATTGCACATAGACTGTTGAGTCCAAGTAAAAGCAATAACGAACTTTTAAGAGAGTAGACTGTTTGTTCTTTCACAAGAAGTAGATCTCAAGGGATTATGACTACAATAAAATGTCAGATCTTGTCCACCATTGCTATGTTTTTTTCTTTCTTTCTTTCTTTCGGTTCGGAGGGATATAAAGTACATATAAAAAGGTCTAATGGAACAGAATTTTTGTGAGGCCCCTCATCCATAGGAGACAGTTCCGAGAGTGATTTTGCGTTAAGTCTATAAAATAAACGGCGCGAAAGTAGCGGCCGAGGGAGGCCTGGGTCGGGTCGCAACCCAAACGGAACCGCGAAATCTCGTCTCCTATTGTGTAACTAAAATAGAGGAGTAAAGGGGTAAGTTTCTAAGAAAACTGTGGTGCTACGTCGGTGGGGGAGTATAACAAGATTATTTGCTTTTATCAACTGAGTTGATAATTTAAATTGGCGACCGCAGAGTTTCAAAGTTGGCGTTTTGAGCGTTAGCCTTAAGTTAGAGCGAAGGCTGTGGAAGGTCGACGCAGTATTTATTACGCAACACAAACCTCCCTGCTTTTTTTTCACTCCTCCGCTACCGCGTCGTTTACCATCGCGCTTCGTTTTGCTGACTAAAACTAACTAAATGATTAGAAGGAATTTTTATACATCCGTCAGTGACTAAGCTGTATGGTCAGTGTAAACTCTCCTCTGGCAAAACTACTGAAAGCGAGGTCACTTTTGAACGATCAGGTTTTGCTGAAGTGGTGAACAGGACTTTGAGCGCCGTGCTCAGCAAGAACTTTGAACTTCTAAAACACCGCTTCACACCAGCCACGAACCACAATTTTTCACACGTATTTGAACATTCATTAAATCGCCAGCTTTGTTTATATTTAATTTTACTACCAAATGGCTAGATATGAGAGTCGGTACCTTTGGGTAACAAATTTCAGCTGAACTGTATTATTCCTGAGGCGTTGGACCTCGATATTTGAATATTTTAATGACATTCGAATTGATGTTCATCGGCATCGCTAATTCTTTTGTTTACGTCAGCTTTGTCGCGGCTTTTGTTGTAATTCTGATTAAGGGCTGATACCTGCATGGTGGAGTCGCAACGTCCTACTTTGAAAATAATGCAACGCATCGAATTTCCTTGTTACCTCAAAATACATTTTCAAAACCTCTGCAATCACAGTAACATTTATTAATTTTGGAATGTCTTATTGTTTCAGGACGAGGTTGTCTCCATTATGGAAAAATTGCCGACAAATGCTTTTCTAAAGGCTTAACAAAGCGCCCTCTGTCAAAGAATTTCTTAGGCCTCTTTTGTATGTTTGCACACTGTTGTACACTTTGTGTTGCATTCGGGGAGTATTTCCCAAGTTTTTGAACTCCATGTAATTGCAGAAATTCATATGTGATGATGTTATTATACAAATAAACACCTGACAAGGGATGTATAGGGGAAGCTGATAAAAAATTCAAAGCAATTGTTAAAAAACGTCAAAGCATTTGTAAGCCAAACTTAGAAACATAATTCAAGTGAATAAAAAATTATCCTGTCCTCCGCAAATGTCAATATTGCCACACTTTTTCCGCATACAGCGAATTCGCAGAAATTAAGTCGAAGCCCAGGTCTTGCTGTTCGTCGAACCGTAAACCTTTGTTTTAAAACTCTCTGTTGTGGCTGATAATATATCTTGTTTTTTTGAACATTGCGTAATAATGATCAGATAGCTCCCGCGTCGCTGGAGATAGCTCCTGGAAATTTCAGTGCCGAATCCAAGAAACTTGACGGAAAAGTTTAGTCTCCGTTTTAAGCCCATGTTTTAACTGTCTCTTTTCACTTTCGACAATATGGAGTAACACTTGGTCAAACGACTTATCAGTGCCCTGTATTTCACAGTACGTTGGGCACTAACGATGCGCAGATTCGCGGCTTATTGTTTGCGATACACTTCTTTTATTTTGATCGGAGCTGTTTTACAAGGTCACTTTGAAATACCTAAACCAGGAAATGAAGCATCATTTGGAAGGTAATGCGGCTTTTACTGTGAGGATTGTGGTATTGCATCAACTCTCTGGTAACAATGATAGGCGACGTGTCCAAAGACAATAGACTTGTACATATTGTACTTTTCCTTCTTGCCATGAGAGCTTAGTCCGCGATTTCGAAAAACCGTCTCTTTCATAGTTTAGCTGAAATGTGATCATCCTGACTAAAGCTTTCAAAAATCCGTCAGTTTCGTCTTGGTTGTTTTTGCAATCTTAACCGCAATCCGCAATTTTGTTAACTGCCTCAGAACACAAACTTGTGTCTTAACGAGATTTAAATTTGATGAAGTCGCGTTTTCGAATATATCATTCATTCAGACGCACCCAGGTCACAGGTCACACCCTAATCTTGTTTAGGACGCTCCCTCTCAACTTTTGCTTGGAAAAATAATTATAATTTAGTTTAACTCCGTCTAGCACTTGGCCTGAATGAACAAAGAATTTATTATTAAAAATATCTATAGATGTGTTTTCCATTCACGGATAATCAACCATACACAAACGGTTACGTAAGAGAGATGAAAAACGACCAACTCTACTCGACCATCTTCGAGGGGCAGTCGCAAATGAAAAGCCTTTACATGGAGTAATATCAATTCCGGTCGGTCATCACGATAATGAATCAATAAGAATTTAGTAAATTGCTTTCCTCTTGATCTGCACAGCATGGTGTTGTCTAACATTTGCAGTATTCCACTGGTTCATAATTTTTTTGTGTGTGAGCAGAATTTAATTTTACGCTCAGGTAACATCCTTCGATGAATTTCCTCAAAGTTTGTTCTATGTTTTGCCAATTCTTCGACCACCACAAGACTTTTTTAAGTTGCTATGCTTGCTGGCATTACGCAACTGTACAAGAAGCGATTATTATTAATCGCGGAAGCTAAAATACTCAACAAGTCAATTTTTATCAATAAATTTCACCTACCAAATAGCCGTAGTACTTTTGGGTTCTTTGTGTCCTTTGTGGATTCGACTAGGGACGATTCCAGGAAAATTATTCTCTTGTACAAAATGCACTGACTGAACAAGAAAGTACCGCGTTATGCAGTGGTGATGGCAGGAATGAAAGTGTAGTTTTCAGACGAGTCTAACATATTGTGCGATCACAATACGACACAGAACAAAGGAATAATAATATATTAACACAAAAACCGATATCAATTTGACTGGAATGTCAGACCAAACCTTCTGGACAATGGCGTCCCTCAAACCGGTCACGTAGCATTAAAACGAGGCAACACCGCAATGTGTGAATACTCTTGTAAATGAAGTAAGTTGCCCTCTCTTTAGAATGCAGTTTTTTTCTCAAATCTCAAACTGCCAAAATCGTGAAAAATGAAAATAGTAACACGAGGAGACAAGTTGAAATAATTCTGCGTATTTATTGTGGTGATGCGAACAAGAATAAGTCAGTTGAATGAAAAGCGTTAGTTGAACCGCGGGGATTTAGAGTGCTGATTTGAAAGATAAATTTTTGTCATAGAGTTTTGCGACACTCCGAACTTCCCAGATGTAGGGAAAGGCCTCAAACTGGCACATGCTTTTTAGAATAATTAGGGGAATTAAAGTGTCTAGCGACTGGTTTGAATGCGTCATTAATTACTGTTTGAAAAACCGGTTTGGCGAGATCTTCCAGATCGAGCCGGCACGGCTGACTGGTTTTTTTATTCGGAAAGAGACCCTTTCATGAATGAATAAAGGAGGTAAATTTCTAAAGAATCCGTGGTGCTGCGTCGGTGGGAGAGCATAACAAGGTAATTTAGTATTTTAAACTGAGTTGATTTAGTAAACTGACCACAAAATCGTTAGCCCTTCATAAGAGTGTTAGATCGAAACGTCAGCTTTTAAACTCTTTATGATGGCCAATTTACGTTATCAACTCAGTTGATGGTACTAAATTACCCTTTCATGAATGACGTTGGTAATCCCAGCGAACAATTAATCAAAATGTAATCAAGCTTTTTTTGTTGCGACCTGCTTTGCGCAGAAGGAAGGACAAAATTTCAAACGCTTTGCACCAAACTGACTTAAGCGGTATAATTTCTAATAGCTTTGAGCGAACAATACAATCAAATAGCCAATTTCAGGAGTTATTTTGGGGTCGGGAACAAACACTAGTATGTGCTGTCCTAAAGGCTGTCCTTTTTAAAGCCGTTTCAGTGGTCTGTTGACCGATTAAGATCTTGGCCATAATGGTCTTTCAATCTAGTTTTGTTTTCAAAAGAACCACTAGAGCGTAAGAATGAACTTTGCTTTCCAACTCTAAGTAACTAATCATTCGAGCTGAGTTTTTCGACTGAATCTACCAAAATTTCTTGACTTCGACGCTGACTCAAAGCCTAGTTATGTTACATGAAAGTGCAATAGTTCGAAAAGAAAAGCACAACTTTCCGTCTGTGAGTGGTCGGTTGCAGAAATGGATGGTTTGGCCCAAAATAGTATCACGAACTGGAAACTGTGTGACATGTGGTGCACCATGTGTAGCAGAAGCACCACTTGACGTAGACTCACTATGGGCAGTCCCGCCTTTTCGATCGGTGTAGTCTGTCGAGCGCCCCTATCGATTCAGCCCCTAAATTAGCATATCAGCGGACGTGCAGCGAAGCAGCGGAACACGGCATTGCCAGGTCACTCAGAAAACATGGCGGCTGTGGAAGAAGAACTAACGGCTGGAACTTCAAGATTGAGTACAAAGGAAAAAATTGAGCGAGGAGTCACTCTTAAAGTGGAGGGGAACGAATATTTCAAGAAAAAAGACTACAGGGATGCAATGAAAAGTTATCATAAGGCATTACTGCACGTGAAAGGGCTTATCGATCGGCCGTTTGTATTTGGACTGGACTCGGCCGGGAGAGACATTTCTGAGGAAGACAAAGAAAAAATTTACCAAGTTCAGTTTAGTTGCTACAACAATTTAGCCGGTAGTTTGAGGAAAATTTTCTTTTGCTTGGAATGTTCTCCCTTAACACGCTGAGGCCTACCTTTACTCTTAATTCAGTTTTACGATTCATGCTTTTTTTTTTCTCAATTTAATGTCTCAAAAATTTCTAGCTTGTTTACTCAAAGACAATCGTTGGGATCGGACAATACATTACTGCAATGAGGTAGGAGGGTAAATTCTATTCCATGACGTATTATAACGAAAATTCAAGGGCGTAGATAATTGATTATCGGGGTGCAGGTCACCTTGCACTTCGTTAATTAAATAAAAAACTGATGATATCTTACAAAACCTGTGCGGCAGGTACTCCATTTAATTAGGGTAAAGTCTGTTATAGTCTTTCAAACTAGCATGTGGAGGGATTTCAATAGCCTTTGGCCACAAGGGGCTTCTGATGATGTGATAGGTGGCAGTGCTCAGAAAAAGGCTGTAAAGCCCTTTCTGCAGAGTCTGGCAGATTCACTCACAATTTTTTCCTTCCTACCATAAAATACTACAGCAAAATTTCCATAGCATGCACAAAATCTTGTAAAGCTCTGCCATACTCTACAGACTAGCATAAGGCAATACTCAAACACGAGAGCTTGCGTACAGGATTAAGACTGCTGTGAGTAAGTAAGTGAGTCTTACTGAAAGCTCTGAATGCGTAACTGAGGACTGTACTTGTTCCTTCCCTTTCACTCTCCTCTTTGCCAACCCACCTTCCTCCTTCCCCTTCTTCCTTACTGGGAAATGGTTTATCTTCTGTTACATGTTATCTCATCCAGTTCTGGTCTGTGTGCATATCAAAGTTGTTGTACAGACTGTCAGGTCTAGTTGCTTGTCTAAGTCTACTCTGAAAATGAATTGTTAGTTACTTTGATTAGTGTTAAGGAAAGCAGAAACTCTATCCTCTTGGGCCCAGTCTTTCAAAGGATGGATAAGGCTATCTAGAGGATAACTATCAACAAAATGTCATGTACTATCCATCAGATAGAGATTAATCCTGTAAATAGCTTTACTCAACCTTTGAACAATGAGGCTTGTATGGTGGTTTTTTTTCCCTTTTTGGTGGATGATGCATGGAAGTGTGCAAGAAAAAAAAAAAAGATAGTAACTTTAAAGAGGTTTCCTTTTGAACATCTTGTAGGCCCTAAAAATTCAACCATCAAATGCCAAAGCCTTGTTTAGAAGAGGCCAAGCTTACTTCCATCTAAATGACCTAGAGAAAGCAGAAAGAGACTTAAAAGCTGCAGAGGAATTGGAACCTGAAGGTAAGTTGTGCCATTACGTCAGAGTCAATAGTTTATAACATATCCAATGATCATACACATTTGAACACAAATTGTCATTTTTTTGCCATCACCAATCATGACCAATTTTGAAGCAGCTTGAATATGCTCAAAGTCGATGCCATTGTTGATGATAGTTCTTAATCCTGTCTGATCACTGGCAAGCCAGTAGGTGAAAGCTAACATGTTGATGAATATTAAGACTGTAGTAGACTTGAGAGAAAGAAGACAAATAGGAAGAAGGAAAAACTTGGCTGTTACAAGCAATAACTTTAACTCCCAAATGTGATCAACATGTAATTTCTCCCCTATAATATCAATACATTATCCAGCAAACAGATAATGAGAATACTCAAAGCTATCAGGTACAAGTTGTTACCTTGATGTAACACCAAATTATCGTTACTAATTTACAAGAAAATGTGTAGTGGCTAGGGGGGAGAGGTAGCAATCAGATCTTGGGAGTTCAACAGTTAATGGTGAAAGGGAAGCTGGGAAAAATTGGTTTAGATTAGTTAATGACCAACAACCCTCCCCCTCCCCCTTCCCCATCCTCACTCACAATTACATATGACCAAAAGTGATAAACCTGTAACTTCTTCCTTATATATCCAACATTATCCAGCAAATGGGTGATAAGAATACTCAAACTTATCAGAAAGAAGTTATCTTTGTCTTACACCAAATTCTCTTAACCCTTTAACTCCTAAGATCTTATTAGTAATTCTCTTTACTATCTGCCATATAATTCTTGTGATGGTAGTTCAGAGAATTTGATACTGGATCAACTATTAATCCCCTAATTGATATTGTTCTTTATTCTCATCGCTTGTCTGCTTGATATTGTATTGATATCGTGAGGAGAAATTATGTCTTGGTCACTCACAGGAAATGTGTGGCAGCTAAAGAGGAGAATTAGCAATTGGTTCTTGGGAGTTGAAGTGTTAAAATAGTGGGTTTTATGTTATTGATAAGTGTTTGGTTCTTTAGATAGAAATAGTAGAGATGGTAAGTTTTGAGCTCGGTAAAGAATTAAAAAAAAATGTTTTTTCATCTTGTCATGAGCGTGGGACAAAGAAAAAATTCTGAGTCCCCATGAGGAATCAAACAAAACTTACCATCTCTACTATTTCTATCTAAGAAATTACGCTATCGACATTGCTGATCCTAGCAGTATGCAGGACGTGTGTCATATGAACTTCGTAATAGACCTCACTCACCATAGAGTCTCTGTGGCTCAGTGGTAGAGCATTGAAGCACAAATCCGAATCCTTGAGGTTCGATTCCTCATGGGGACTCAGAATTTTTTCTTTGTCCCACGCTTGTGACAAGACGAAAGAACATCTTTCTTAATTCTGTTTGGTTCTTATTAGTGTCTTCTTTGTTATGTTTTCATTAGATTCGAGTATAAAGAAAATGCTGGCATCTCTAGATGTGGAGTTGAAGAAGATGAAAGAAAGAGAGAAAAAGATATATGCAGGAATGTTTGATAGGCATAACAAACCAGAATAAAAATTCTTTGTATAGAGTTTTTATAAATGCTGATTATGAGTGTTTGGTATTTACATTCCACAGACTGTCTATACTTTATGGTTATGAAGACCTGTATTTTTAAAAAAAAAAGTATTTTAAGTTAAGTCTTCCAAGTTTGCAAATTTTCATCATTAATTAAAGAACTTTATATTTCATTCCTAACCGAATATGCTGCCTCATCAATTTGAAGTCATTTGGTTTAACTCTTTACACCCTAACATCAGTATGCATGTTCTCTATACTGTTCTTTATACATTTCCTAAGTTCTAACAAGGAGAATTTGTAAAACCATCAAGAGCTTCATTAGTTACTGATCATTTCCTTTACTCTCGCAACTAAACATTTGATTCAAGGGATAGATTGTAAAGAGAAATTAGAACAGACATAGTCTGATGCTACTCTGGTTTGCAGATTTAATGAATGTAACTGAAGAAGTTACAATTCATATAAAAGGACCTCTTGTTGCAGCGTTTAGATCACCCCTGATGAAGGCACTAGACAGGAGTGTCGAAATGTTGGGTCTATGAATTGTAACTTCTTTGGTTACATTCATTAAATCTGCAAACCAGAGTAGCATCAAACTATGTCTGATTGTCCACCTGGTTGCCGTGTGAACTTTAATATAAGAAATTAGAACCTTGTCACTCTTAGGGATTAAAGGGTTAAAAGGATTATGGAAAGGCTGAGCAGTGTCCTGGGTGAAGTAAAACAAGTGCAATTTTCACATAACACAAGTGCAAAGTTGTAACAGGAGTGCAAATTACAAAATTCTGTCTTGACTTTATCTGAAGATTTTTTTCAGGTAAATTAGTAACAAGTAACAATATGATTTCTTCTAAAATTTGGTGCAATAAGCACTTGTAAATTTTTTGAAGACAACAAAATTGCACTCACCCTATAGGATTGTGCAATTTTGTCTTTGAAATAATTTAGTTGTGCTTATTAACACTAGATTGCACTTGAAATCATGTTATTACCTATACTTATTTCTTTGTGGTCTTTTCACCTTCTGCCATTGAGTTATTTCTCTGACAACATCACTAGAACAGGTGAGTAATATTAATACATGTAGTTATCTCTTGTTTTAAGCTTTTTCTTTTAACAAATCAGAGTGCCAATATCAAAGTTATCCTAACTAACAGTTCCACCACTGAATCCAACTTTAAGCCTTGACAATAAAGAAAAATAATGATTGCCATCTGATGAAGCTTTTGCTTTCTAAACCAATTCTCCCCATCAGGACCATGGGAAATACATGTAGATCAGTATGGAGAAATTGCATGCAGAGGCTGGGGTGTACAGAGGCTGGGGTGTACAGAATTAGAATGGAGAGAAGGAGTATTCTAATAACTTCCCACTGATGCAAAATAAACCAGAGTGATACAGCAAGTGCTCTAAAAACAGGTTTATTATTAAGCAATAGCTGACAATGAAATTGCAGCTCAATCAGATCTCATAACAATTATTTCATTGCTATTTGAAACCTACTATAGACTTACTTTATCTCTGCATGAAAAGGCAATGGTGATACTTAAAAAAAAAAACAAAAAAACAACACTATAATTTATTGGCTAACATAGAACATACATAATGACAGCCACACAAAAGATCCTGCTTAATGTTTTCATCTGTTTCCCAATCCTGGACTTTCTGTTAAGCACAAATTTGCAACTGATGAAATTGAATCAATGAAGAGAATGCATGTTACCCTAATTTACCCAAGTTCTCCATGGAAAGAGGCACATTGATTAATAGCTGCCTTTTTGGGATTTAACACTGCTTACTGGCTCCTTCCTTCTACTTGCTTTACTCTTTATTTCCTCCTGATTGCCAGAGCTGGTTGGACAAGTTATTATAAAGCAGAACTCTGCTTCCTTTGGTATTATGGGATGGTCTTAATTCTTCTAAAACTCCTTCTATGAGCTTTCGCTGAGAAATGTGAAGTGGGAAACACAAGGTGGGTGAGAAGGGCAAGGAGTTGCAGACTTTCCAATGGTTCTTGTTGAGTCTGTTTCTCCCTATTAAGTAGCTCTGCAAATACAGGTTTATGTTCTATTTCCCTGCCTTCCCCACCCACAAAAATTATCCCAACTACATGTACCTATAGGTCATACAAAATCTTGAGTCAATCTAAGTCCAACAATGAGATACTAAACACACAGTTTAGGTCACCACTACATGCTCAAAGTAAAACAATGCCAAGTCATACAGAAACTCTAGTCAGAAGTATCGCATCCCCCAACAAAATGTTCGTTTCATTGCTTCCCAGTAGTACTGTTTCCATCCACTTTTTGTGCGCTCAAAATCTTCCTCAGGGATGCCTGTCTGTACTAATGTCAACTCAGTACGGTCATCTTTCTGATCCAAAGTGATTTTCACTGTGGAGTGGTGTCCTTCAGGCCAGCTCTTGAATCTCCACAGCATTACTATCTTTTCCTCTGAAACCTGAGAAATTAAAACAAAATTTAACCCTTTCACTCCCAAGATCTCATTAGTAATTCTCCTTACTGTCTACCATACTGTTCTTAAGATATTAGTTCTGGGAATTTAGTTTTGGGCCAACTAATAATCCCCTTACCAACATTTTTCATTATTCTGGTCACTTGTCTGCTTAATTTTGTAAGAATATTGTACAGAGAAATTCTTAAGATAATTTTCTTTAAGTTAATACAATTTTCACAGTAACAGGACTCTATCTTAACTAACCAATTCCTGGAATTTTCCTGACACATTGCCATTAAACAGTACAAATGTTCCTCCACGACTAGCATCCACCTTTACTGAGCTCTGGGTGAAAGCTTCAAGTCTCTGTGGATGCAACACAACAGATACTGGGTTATTATTTCATGGCCAGTGCTTGACAGGTTGGGTCGTGAGCTCAAAAGCCGGGTGATTTACATTAAGTCTGGGCTTACTGGCAAACGTAAGGTGTGAAAAAACAAACATTAAAACTAACAAAGTTTACTTTGATGGACCAGTTGGACCAATTATTTACACAAGGTCTAACCCAAACTGCAGTTTGACATAAACAGAGGGACTCAGGGATTCTTGACACTGTTCACAAAAATAAACGTTCAGATATAAGGTTTGGCTTAATTGAAGAGAACTTAGAATGTGGTTTTGTGAAACAACAGCTAAACTTTGTTTTAATGACCTGTTCATTGACTTTTCTTTTCATTTGATAAATTCTTACTGAAAAAAATTTTTGTTTAGTTGTGAGACAGGAATACAGAAAACGCATTTCTCTAGAAAACATACTTTTGAGTGTAATATCATTCTTCCCTGAATTCTAACAGTTAGCTTAAACATTGTGTACTTCACATTTGATTGGTAGGTAAAGGTAAAGTCGGTTTTTGAGTCAAGTGGCCCATCCAAATAAAATAAAGTCCTTTATTTGAAAACAGTAATTATTAAAGCTATAAAGCTTGTGGGGTCATTTATCTAAGCATCTAATATGCTAATGAACCTATGAAAGTTTACAATTTGTTGCAAACCAAAGATAAACAGCCATTCCAAGAAGGGTAAAACTAACTAAACCTCATGCAAATTGACGTAATTTGAAGGTTTCACTTTACAGGTGCTACGTGTAAAATAAAATCTTCTGATCTGAAAGTACATGGGGATGCAGAGGTCCAGCCAGAGCTTATCTTGCTGGAAGCAACTAGGAGTATTACTAACCAACCACCTCTTTCCCCTTGGGTGGGATACCAAACTTTAACAAGGTTACCCTTCAGCATTTCAGCAGGCTTCTCTGCCAATTCACTGATACCCATCCATACTCCTGAATGGAAAGAGGCACTGTGAAGGTAAAAGTGTCTTGCCCAAGAACACAACACATTGACCACGCCAGGACTTAAACCCAGACCTTTAATCCCAGAGTCCTGTGCACTTCACAAGTATTATGAGGCCACTGCACTACAATAGATTTAACTGCAAGTTTTATGAATTGTTCATAATTTCAGATACTTGAACGTATAATATTCATCTAATTGAGTACTGTCAGTGGGTAAAGAGTTGTAACTAGTTTATGTACATCACCTGCTGTTCTGTTAGCGCTGCATATAACTCTTCTGCAGTTGTGAGAAATTCTTGCTTCATGGTCAGGTTTTTGGTAGAGATGGGGCAGCCAACTTTACTTGTATCAGCTAAATCAGTAGGAAGAAAACATCTGCTTAGCTCTTAGAAAGGATAAACAACTTAGCATGACTTCCAAAGACCCAATAGGGGGAGGGGGGGGGAAAGAGGATAAATAATATTTAGTAGAGATGGGGCAGCCAACTTTACTTGTATCAGCTAAATCAATAGGAAGAAAACATCTGCTTAGCTCTTAGAAAGGATAAACAACTTAGCATGACTTCCAAAGAGGGTTGACCCAATAGGGGGAGGGGGGGGGGAAGAGGATAAATAATATTTAGATGGTCACCACAAGGAAAAAAAATTCAATTTTCTGTCTCTGATTTACTGATTTTCAACTACTAGAATGGGGAAAGTGAAGTCAGAGGTTTACAAATTCTTAATATTTTGTTCTTAATAAGCAGATGACCTAAAAAAATTGGCATGGTGCATTGTTGCTGAAAATAAATTTGGTCAATTAAGTGAGGACAAGAACAACCCATTTCCATTCCAAAGGCAAAAAGATATATTAGTTTTACAGAAACATCAAATATGTTAAAAGACTAACCTGACCAGGGGTAAGTGTAAATTTTTAATTTAGTTTCATAAGACAAAGGGACCTATGTGTATCGCTTAGGTTAACACAGCCCCCCCCCCCCCCAATCTTCATCTAACTTAATCTATTATTCTCCACAGAGATAAAGAAGCTCCTTCATTACACCCAGATAGAGTGAATGTATTGACTTACTATCATTTTTAATTGTATCCCCTGAACCGGCTGAAAAGTTGTTAGCAGCTTTGAGTGTCTCATTGTCTTGACTGTTTGGAGATGATCTCTGCAAAATTGGGCTGTCTTTGGACGGTAGAATCATTCCTTGACTGAATTCTAAATGAAAAAATACAGACATACAAATCATGTAGAAACAAATTTACAAAATGTGAATTCAAGAATGTAGCTTGCCTATATACCCTTGACATACAGCTTAAAACACAGAGAGAGCAATGAATGAAACAAACAATTTGACAAATAAATACCGACAAGCATAGACACAGACAAGCTTGCAGACAATTCTACTGTGTACTTCCTTCTTTATCCAATAAGTGCTTAGTCCTGTTTTTTTCATTCTATAGATTCATCTACTGCTACTAGTACCATCAATGCATTGGACCAATCGATTATACAATATCACTCAAGTTTGCTGCAGCATTATACAAGCTTGACCCTTGTGCAATTCTCATGAAGTGGATGTGCTAAACACCAACATCTCCTGTCACTACACACAACTGGGAGTAATAATATAGGCTGGGCTTATTGTCTTAAGATCAATGACAATTTGTAATTTACATTATGTGTAAGAAGCAAGAACCTTGTCTGAGTTCCTTGATATACTGCCCCAACTTCTCTCGGATCAGACCTGTACCAACAGATCTTATAAGTTGTTTTAATTTGTAACTTGCTTCTGAATCCTTGTCAGCTGTCACTACCACCTGCATATGCAAAAAAGAGCTCTGTCATGAAGTATACAGTTGGTAATAGATTGAGTATGTATAAGTGTACATGTAAAATTCAACCCTTCAATCTTTTTTTTTTCTTACTGATTCGAGTCCCATTTACAGTGTACATGTACTTCATGCAAACTTAAAAGACCTGAGTATTTAGAATCAACCCTTTAACTTCCAGGAGTGACCAAGACAGACTTTCTCCTTGAGGTTTCAATACAATATTAAGCAGAAAAGTGATGAGAGTAAAAAAAATATCAATTAAGTGATTACTAGTTGATCCAGCACCAAATCACCGAAACTTACATCATTTAACAGTTATAGAGCAGACAGTAAGTAGAGTTATTAATGAGATCTTGGGAGTGAAGGGTAAAAACAAACAACAGCTCACATACATGTACACATTTTTTTCATTCTCATCAATGTGTGGATATTGTAACAAGACATTACTTGGTTTCTCAAGGGAATTAAAAGGTAAAGGCAAATCAACCCACCACAAATATGAAGCTTTTTAAAACACAAATTAAAACTACACAGCTGAAACTCTAGAGACCATACAACTGTCCACTATAAACAAAATCCTAAGACTGTTTCATAAACTATACATTTACATTTACATGTGTTGGGTTGGTAAAATCGTTAAGATATCACACAACCATAAAAATAAAAGCAAACAAATAAATAAATAAATATATTATTATATTATTATTATAGGTGTCATCACTTAAAAACCCTCACACTAATATTATCATTATCATTAATATTATTACCATTCCATTGACTCACATTTACTTCATGTGCATCATTTTCTTCACTTAGATTTGGAATTTCTATTTTTCCTTTCCATACTTTGTCATCGTCTTTTACAGTTCCTGAATGATTAGATTGCATTCAAGAGATAAGTTAGCTTGTCATGACTTAAAGTAAAGTTGAGTTGGATACAGCCTCTAAACACAATTTGTCACACAATGTGTTTCCATTAACTAACCTGTCCATTCAAGTGTAATAACCCACTCATAGAAAAATATTAGTTTTGCTTTTCTGTTGCTGAAAAGAGCAAGTAAGGCAAAAGTTGAGTAAACATCTCAAGCACCAAGTAAAATCAAGGCCTGAACAACACGTGGACTTACTTGGCGTAGGCTTCTCCATCGATTTTGGTAACCTCAGTTATTTTAGCTTTTCCTTAAAGCGAAAAAAAGTAAATGAAACTTTTCAAGAGAATTAAACATGACAACAGCAACAATATAGTCATGTGAATATGAATTGTAACTATAGTCTTGGTGAATTTTGGTATACGTCATGGTTCCAATTTTTTTTCGGTTTCACTGTTTTTGAACATCAACAAAACAAATGAATCAGATTCAAAGAAGATATCAGAACTGAAAAGTCGGCTTTTTGAAATTTGTTTTGTTGGTTTAATAAATTATGTCGCCTTACTTGAAGTTGATAGACGACCTTGACAACATTTCTCTTGTCTGTACTGTTGTCACAATACAACACAAAGTCGACTATTACTTAAACTTTTAAAATAAATATATTAAGAAAAAATCCGATCACTCCCGCACGGTTCCCTTTTAATTTTGATTTTTTTTAACCACTGATCGCTTTGCACTTAAGCTTCAAATTCTCTAAAAAAAGTCGAGAGAAAGCAGTTCCGATTCCGTATCATTCCTCAATACAAATCCTACCTTCATCTGTTTCAATTTCTAAATCTTTTAAAAGTGACTTTAACCTTTCTTTGGACCAAGGAGTAGCATTCTTTTCAGTCCTGTGGACCATAAGCAAGGAAGAAAGTGAATGCTTGATCAGAGCATTTATCACAGAAAAAAAAAACATATATCTACATATACATGTATCTAGTGACAATATTATTAGCTAGCCACGTGAACTTAAAGTACCACATGCAACATTTCACCAAGTGTGATCGCTTACCAGTGCCAATTATTTACATTTTTGGCGTCAGCTCTCTCTTCTACGATCCACCTAGGATCACCTTCACCCCATTTAGCCATTTTTATCTGAAGAGAAAATAGCAAAAACCGACAAGGCCGGTGTACTCTTAGAACCTTCCCGGTTTCTTCTCTGCTCAGTTACGTCAAGGAGTGAGCTTCAGATTTGCGCAATGCATCATGGATGAATCGTGCCCAGCCGCCCTCGTTCCTCAACATGTTGTGATTCAGTAGTCATAAAGCGTCTCCGTTCCCGGAATACTCATACATCATCATGGCTGAGGAGAACGGAGTATGTCATGTGAACGGCGAGCCGGAAGTGGTAGATGGCGATTTGCAGAACGGTGAACCCGATGAAGACGACAAAGGTTACGACATATAAAATAGCTAATAATTTTAGGAAGAGGAGAATTCTTTTAATGTGTCGGTTTATGTTCTGGATCAAATATTTAGTTTGATTGAACACTTTCAGTTTCGGTTTAAAATGAAAAGTTAGTTTACGCAGAACATCTTTTCTCGTTGATTTAGCATGCAAGGCTGGGGTTGTGAAAATTCGTGCTTCATTTACATTCATTGGATAGAAATTTTCATCTAGACTTTTGTGCTCAAAAATACAAAACTCAGAATTTCACAATGATGTCGGGTCAACTCTACCATGTCTCGTTCGCCCTAGTAGTGACCAAGTTATAAAACGATAGGTGAAGGAAAGTAAACGCACAAGGCTAGAGGTCCATCTGGCCAGAGTCATTCTGGTTTCCCTAACTTGATGCAACCAGGAGCTCTTTGATTTAGGGGTGATATTCTAAAGAGAAATTAGATGCCAGCACTCTTAGGGATATCAAACGGTTAAGGCCACTATACGATTCTTATGACAGAAGCTATGGGACTTCTATATCACACAGGGGCCATTAGACTCTGCAAAAGTGGGTGACTATAAAAAGTTTGTTAAGGTAATTATTTTGACCAGAGTAACCAGCTACTTGCTATCAAGTGGCCAGGGTAACTTGGGCAGTTGCCCACTTGTTTTGAAACCCCTGAATTGACAGATCTCCTTTAAATCTCTCTGCCACTCTGCTTTGATCCTTTGAAAGAAGGGACCTTTAGCTTATCAATTAACAGATATTTAATGCAATTTTTACTCTTAACTTTTTTTCCTTCAGAGTATGAAGCCCTTGATTTGGAGCTGGATCAAATTAATTCTTGTCTTGACAAGTTGGAGAACTGGAATGATTCCCTTCGGAGTAGAATGAAAGATATGCTTGAAACTATGCAGAAAACAAGAATAGAGAGAGAAATACAAACCAACCAGGATGATGGGCACAATGGCACGCAGCCTTGATTACATCAATTCAAACATCACTGCAATTTTTTCTGTTTAGAAGAGTTTTGGTAGAAGTTATTGAAGAAAATTAATGTTATGGTTTATAGGTGAATTGAGAATCATCTTGGTAATTCAACACATATCACACAGACTTGGTTTCTGCAGATACAACCGAATACATTTTCAGATATTTAAGCATCATTCTTTGTTTTCATAGCATGTCATAAGCACTTGCATGCCATGGGGAAGCTTCAGATATTAAAATCAGAAAATTAAAGTAAAAATGGTATCTTGATAAGTATATGTAATTCTGTAGAATTTAATCATATATTTACTTAGAATCATTTTAGTTGGATGCGTTTGTATTGAGAAGTGTAACAAGTTAATAAATTGAAGCTTATCACCAACATGTGCAATGACATTTTGTGTAGGTATGGTATGGTGTATTCAGTTATTACCCAGGAATCCAAGGGAGCTGTATATTTAATAGGCATAATACACCTGGATGGGGAATTATTACTCAACTCAAATGATTAAAGTTTTACTTATTCAAAGAAGGGAGGCCAAAAAGATAAGATAATGAAAACAAGCATGCGATATCACCCTCAATCAAAACTATAACAAAATTCTCAAACGTGATTGGTTATCACCAGCTCAATTTGAGCTCTAATAAGACAGTGTACACGTCATGCTTGTAACTGGACAGTGTAATAGAACAATTAAAGGGATAGTTAACACATCATGCCTTGTAAGTGGACAGAATGCATCCTGAGTGTGCCCTGATTAATTGGTAACAGGACTTTGTGTTGTCCAATTGTCTGTAATCATACGAGTGATTTACAAATTGGACTCCCACTTCGCGGTCATCTGATTTTGTTAATCACTCGTATGATTACAGACCAAATTGGACTCCAATCAGTCCCATTACCATTATCTATATGAATCATGAGAAAAGGGTGTACTTGAGAAGGATTGGATACTAGTATAAGAAATGCAAAATGCCTCCATATCCCTCTTGATTTAATGAATACGATTCCACAATGATAGAAAAAGCACAATAATAAATAATTAAAGCGTTAGCATTTTTTAATAATTGCTCAGGATCTCGAATACAGTTGTGCTCCCCACTCCTCCCCACTCCTCCCTACTCCTCCCCTCCCCACCCCACCCCCTTGACAATCGGGTATTATCTTTATTATTACCCAGGAATCTAAGGGAGCTATGTTTTGAGTGGGCTCGAGGCTGGAAAAATCAAAATGGCGCGAGAACGTGGTCGAAATACTTCCTATATTTCAGCCACAAAAACTTCAAAAAAATACCTTTATATTTTTGTATCGTTATTTATTCCTCTTTTCTGACTAAGAAAATGTCAGAATGCTGCAAAGAACTTCTATCAATCGTTGATAAATGTAAGGCTTGGCTGTTTTGCGGTATTTTATTCACCAATAATTTTGTCGATTTCACTGTGTTTTTTCCGCTAATGCTGGATAGTATTTAGGAGTGTCTAACTGTGAGATTTTCTGTTGTCAATCTAGACGACTTGGAAAATCCTGAATTTGGAAAAGAGGATGTAACAGAGTTAGTTTCGTTCGTCCTTTCGTGGCCACAACGGTAGGTAAACGTGCAGCTGGGCGATTAATACGTGGTGAAGCTGCCCACGGCGGACTAGCTCATGGAAAGCTTACGTCTTTTTCTGTTTTCTCTCAGGCAATGTAGGTGCATTTTCCGAGATCAGCTTCATTTAGCCCGCCTGGAAGATCTGCTTCAGAATCTTTTGAAATGCGCTATTGATCTCATATGCGAGCTTCGTGTTCCTGCTGTTGAGGACGAGAAGAAGGACGGAACTGAAACCAGCGAAGATCAAAACAACGGGAAGAAAAACGAGTGGTCACAACCAGAAAAGGAGAGACTGTTCCTTGCTGTGGGAAAGATATTTCAGCTGCCTCTTCCTTTCTATCAAGTGCGAAAGATTCATCTTTTGCGACAGGTTTGTTGCATAAGGTTGCGTGATTTTCTAAGTTAATCTTTATTATTATCTTTCTTTATTTTTTTGGAAGGATCTAATTTCTAAGACGAATCTACCTAATCAGCTTATGGGGTTTTTAACCGCACTTTCAGCAGTCGTTGGGGATGGCTTTTGGATTCTATTCTCTTAAGCACGTGATTTCATGTACATATAAAAACGGTTTTAAGAAAGTTTGAACAAATACAACTTTGTTGCAACTTTGAACCTTGCACATGTGCAGATCACAGGATAAAACGGCATGACCTGTTTCATCTGCATATACATTGGACAACCTCTCATGTTAATTCAAAGTTTTGGCTCACACACTAAAAACAATTCACCAGGTTCTCTCATTTTGTAAACTGATATTATCTTTTTTCGTTTGAAAAAATCTTTCAAACAGCATGTAAGGGGTGTACATTATCCATCCTCTGGACTCATGGCTGACATGGCTCTCTCGATTCTTGACCCTTCTGAGCAAAGTTTGGTAGTTTAATCCACTGACTTCATAACCTGTGCTGCTGTCCCTGACACAGTTATCCTTAACTGCTGAGATATAATCAGTAATTCTCCTTTTCATTTGCAGTACATTTTCTTGATGTGTTGTTAACCAAATAACTAACCATGAGTGACCAAGACAGAATTTCTTCTTACAATATCAGTGCAATATCAAGTAGACAAGTGATGAAAATAAAGAAAAATATCATGAAGGGGATTATTAGTTGATGCAATACCAAATTCTCTGAACTAACATCATAGAAATTGTAAAGCAGACAGTAAGGAGAATCACTAGTAAGATCTTGAGGTAAAAAAAGGTCAAGAGAATTAAGAGTTCGAAGATGACAATATCCTCCACCTGGGCCAGGTTGGTCGAAAGGGTGTTAGCACAAATCAAGGATTGAAATATAACCTTAACCTTTTAGTCCCATGTGTAACCAAGACAGAATTTCTTCTTACAATATCAATACAATATCAAGCAGACAAACAATGAGAATAAAGAACAATATCAATTAGGGGATTATTAGTTAATCCAATACCAAATTCTCCAAAATAACATCACAGGAACTTAATGGCACACAGTGAGGAAGATTTCTAATGAGATCTTGGTAGTTAAAGGGTTAATTTCCCTTGAAGAAGAGTAATAATAAGAGCTACAGTTTTGTTGGGTTTTATTACCATATATCTCCAACTAACCGGAAAAAAATATGTAAGAAAAATCCCTTTGCCAAGCTACAAAACAAAATTTAATATATACACTAAACTGATGTAGGTTAATTGTGCTTTGAACAACTCGGCCCTGATAATGATATTTTGTGTTACCTGGCTGGATCATTTATTGACCAAGGAGAGGTGACAAGTCATCATGTCAAGGATTGAATAGATAACCTTGCTCTTAGATTGCCTTTGTTTGCAGTGGTTGTATTTGGAGATTCACTTGTTAGGCACTTTTCATTTGTCTGGTGAGAATTCTTTTCAAAATGCAGCCCAGTTTTTGCAAAGAAATGTGTACTGCTAGACCCTTAGTTATCTTAATGTATTTCTAGAACTGGGTATGGGAGTTGTTTCTTTTCTTTGGTAATCAAGTTATTGGTAATTTTTGTAGGAAACAACAAGTAAAGACTGCTCCAAATACTGTGATGTGAATGTAAGTAAATTGTTTTGGTAATTAACAATCAGTTCTTATGTGCATTTAAGGGAATATAAAGCATGGAGGAAGTTTTAGGAGCATGAAAGATTCAAAGTGCTTTGATTAATGTTTATTCGACTTCACAACAAAAATTTTGCCATAGTATTGAAAATTCTGAAAGTTGTTAGATTAAAAACAATTGTTCTGTCGCACACAATGCTTTAAGGCACTTCTACACTTCAAAAACAAATTATATTTAATGGGCAAAAGAATACATAATTTGGATTGTGTTTGGAAATTGTTGTATTGTTCATTCTTAGCTTATGTAGTATTTTGCAATTTCAGGATGGGGAAGTACCAGAAGCTCTTTTGATCAATGTAGCATACTTCTGTGACCATGGTGGTTTATCTGCGATCAGGGAAGCATTTCAAGATGCAGATCCAACTACATTGCCATTTCCAATTGCCCATCACCTTATCAACATTGTTACTCAGGTAAAACTTATTGGATGCCCAGTATTTCCCTCCAAAATTAATGCATGGCCTTGTGTTCACAGACACAGTGGCCTACTGATCAGTGGACTGGACCCCAGGTCAAGAGGTCTGGGTTCAAGACCTGGCAGGGTCAATGCGTTGTGTTCTTGGGCAAAACACCGTAATTGGGCAGCGTCTCTCTCCACCCAGGAGTATAAATGGGTGCTGGAAAATCATTAGGGAAACCTGATGAAATGCTGGGGGTAACCCAGGGGAGAGTAGTTATAGTCATAGTGACTTTGTGCCATGTGGAAACTGAGACAAGCTCAGGCTGTGTGGGCCAGTAGGTTTGAGTACAGACGTTACTCTGACCTTGCTTTCTGTTCACTTGGAAATTTAACTGTGATTAAGTGGTACTGTTACAATGTGTCCTTGAACTATTTACCTATTGTTCCATTTATTCTTAATTCTCAATACCCACTCGTATTCATGGCCTTTTTTAAGTTTTGGAGTAGTGTTTGAAGAAATGTGGTTTGGTTGACCCTGTCCACTATCAATTATATTGTCAATCTTTTTTGTCTTGCTGGCTTTATCTCAAGCTTATGATTGAATTGTAATGAAAGAATAATCATTTAAGAAAAAATAACTTTGTAGACCTTTTCTTCTGAACTATTTGCTTGCAAAAGTGAGCTGTTTACCCTAAAGCAACTCCATATTTAAAGATATAACACTTGTATTTTTGTTTTCTGCTTGAAAGACTTGACACTCCTAGTTCAACTTCCCCACCCTAGCCATGCAAGGTTCAAATCCCCTCCCCTTGGACATGGACAACAGCTAAGTGCCCTTGGGTTTCTTGGAGGGGAGGGGAGGAAAGAAGATGTTGAACCTTCGTATTGATTGGTGCATAAAGCTCATTTCACACTAACTGAACTTTTTACTCTTTTTTTTAGTTGCGCTTATGGTTTAGCATTCAGGCAATTATGCAGTACATAATTCCACTCCGAAGGCCAGTCATAAGGTTGGTCACACTTCATACCGTACAATATTTGGTTCAGACTAATCATAACCATTACAATTTCCTTAATGAATGTAATTGGTGAATTAGCTGCTTTATTTTTCACTAATCATTCTGTACAGTTGTAATCAAACAGTTGGCTGTTATTGGACACCCATAATGGGACAGTTGAAGCAGCCAGTCCTACTTAGTCCTTTCAGCCAAATCCACCAATCACAAAAATGATTGCAATAACCATAGCAACAGCCCCTCATCCTAGAAAAAACAATGGAATTTCCAAAATTGTGAAAGAGGCACTGGTGCCTGACATTATTTTTAACAGTGTTGAGATACTATTTTATTATTAAACTATACTATCTTTGGTAAGCTGTATGGTATGGAATGATAGATTGTGTTTTTGATTAAAAACATTTGTTAACAAGCAGTGTAGAGGAACATACATATAAAAGATTTTGAAAGTGAAATAAGCAGCCTCACTTGAAATTTCAGCCAGAAGCAAAATTTCATAACAACAACCCTGAGTCTAAGGTGGCAAGTTAGTGGAGTTGTGAGCAAGTCAGCCCATCTGTATAAATTAATGTGTGCTTTTTAATGTTGTACAGGTATCTGTGTAAACTAACAGACAAGGATCTGCGACAGCCAGATGGTCGTATTATGGTTGACTCTATGTGGAGTGCTGTGAAAGGGCCTGTGGAATCGGGGCCCATCTGTGATAAGTATGAACTGTTGATGTGCTTTGATTTAAAGTAGAACTGATGGGGTGTTTGCTTGCAGTGTTGAAGATTCCAAGTTTTTGGTGTTGTGCACTCATCAATTTGAAGCTTCGACATCCCCCAAAATGTTTTGAAACAGGCATCAGACATGGAATAAATAGGTGACCGTGAAAAGTTTATTAAGGGCCAAAAGTTAATTATTTCGACCAGTGCAACAGGTGATATGTTGTCAAGATAACTATCAGAACTCTGGTGGTCACCAGCTTGTTTTGAAATCCCTGTTTCAAGCAGAAGTGTGCGGTGGAATACAAGCATTATAATTATCTTTAATTAGGGAATTGTTTAAAGGTAAAGAGTTCACTTTTGCGGATGAATGGCTCAGAATTAAAGGTCGAGTAGGTGTAGTTTTTGAAATGAGTAGTAATTTTGCCTTTTACAGAGATGTTTGGTGGGGAATTTGAATATTATTTTGGCCCAGGGTGCAGGAATTTTGAGCAAAGTAATCTACAAAAGGCAGGATGATGATGGGTGTTGAAGCTTTATATAGAGCAAACCATTAAAATATTTTCCGTACCCTTCTCTATACATTTCCATGGTATTGACGAGGAGACTTCATTTAACAATCCAAGCTTCCAAGAACACAGACAGCCCAAGCTCCAGTTGAGATGATCCTCTTGTGAAATGAGAATCATAGCAAAATTATAACAGCTTGTCTGGGTTTTTGGCTGCTCTTAGGAATAAAAAAATACAGTCAAATTCTCAATAAAAATACCTCACCTTACTTTCACAGTGCATTGCTTGTTATCTGACCGCTTACTATGTTAAAAGAACCCATTTTAGCAAGTTATCCCTTGCTAGGTTTACTACATAAAAAAGTCCAGGGCTGCATACTTTATTTCTATTTGGCTGATCTGAGAAGTGATAAATCCAATGCAGAATCCAAGCACATATACTGCAGTTTCATTTCAATTCACTACCAACACGATCCTCTTTGTGAAACCGATGCTAAGCCACAGTTTACTTTCAAAATTTTGAGTTTAGAGGTTTCTAATGACCTGCATACACATTCACTGGGACACACAATCATTGAAAACCAGCTTGGTAATTTGCCTCCTTTGCAAACATGAGCCTAGCCAGGGACCACACTGTCACTTTTCAGAACCATGGGTACTAAGTTACAGTGTGCTCCTTGGCGAGACTTAGTTTGCATGGGTTCTTTTCAACATAGTAAGCAGTCAAACAATAAATGATGCACTGTGGAAGTATGGTTAGGTATTTTTATTGAGAATTTTTTAATTTAATTTTTGTTCCAAGAGCAGTTGTAAATATCCCCATACAAACTCTTATAATTTTGCCATGACTCTTATTTTGCAAGATGATCATCTCACAGCTGGAGCTTGGGCTACCTGTGCCCAGGGTGGCATTGACTTCCTTTATTCTTATGATCGTAATGAGTGATTCAGCAGCATTACTGTAAGGAGAAATTAGATGCTGGTCACTGTCAAGGGTTAAAGGTTAAAAAAAAGAACTCGTTATTTGTTTTTTGTGGCATAAAAAGTCATTAGTGCCCCATGTTTCTGAGAGAACAAATAACGATGCTCATTACTCAGGGCTCTAAGTTCCCTTTTTCAAAAAGTTGCCTTGTGGTGATCATCAGTAGTAATATGGTCTAGGGGAAAAATTGGGTCGCCAAAATAAAAAAGAAAATTCCTCATAAAATCTGTTGGTCACCAATCTGTGACTTTTTCTTGGTGACCATTATGGCCCAACCTGGAGTGCTGGTATTCCTAAACAAGAGATAAGTTAGCTCAAAATTTACGACCTTTCCTATGGGTATTTTATGCACTCAAACTCCTCTTTGGTTTTTACAGGGACAGTTTAGATCTGGCCTTTAAATACTTTACATCATCCACTCTGACAGTGAGGCTTGCCGGCTTGAGTCAAATAGCAGTAAGTTTAAGAAGTTGTGACTGAAATTCATTATTGCACTGACATTTAAAAATGTTTTGATTAGTTGGTTGAAGTGAGGAAGTACATGCATGCTTTCACTCATGTTTATTCATGTGGATTGTAAGAGTTGATGAGTGACATCTACTTGAACACTGGTAATTAGTATTTCACTGCTATGTTATTTTATCAAGAAAGGTCATGAGAATGTGCAAAATATGCCACAGCAATGGACTGTAGAACAGGGCAAAAATACAGAGCAATAAAGTGGCCTCACAGAATGATCCAAACTTTTTTTTTGTTTTTTTTTAGGCTTGACTTGAAAAGAAACTAAATTTTTTTTGTACAACAGATTTTTTTTCATTTTTTTTGTTTATGTCTTTTGCATACTCTTCATGCAGTCAATACAATGCACAGATAGGCCTGTTAGATGTATTTTGCAAACTAACATCAAAATAATGAAGAGTGAAATAATAATGATCATTGCTCGTATTTAAATAAAAAAGGCAACTCACAACCTATATGTTAAGCTGTCAAACAAGGTGTATTTATTGTTAAGAGAAACATTCTAGTACAATGAACAATCTTGTTGCAACTAAAAGAAGATTAGCAGTACATGTTACTCAACTTGAAAAGTTAAGCTGTGGTGCAACTGTTTTGAAGGTAAAAAATGTATCTTTGTAGCCTCGTTTAACTATAACTGTTGCCCCATTCACACCAAAGCTTAAACATGTTTAAAAGTTGTTTTGTTAAACACAGTTTAATTTTTTTTTTCTTCATAGAAACTATTTAACCAAATATTTTTGACTTGAATGTAGCACATTGGAAATACAAGTTAGCTGTTGAATCCAATGGAAAATCAAGTTTTTCAGTTCTCTGTTTATAATTTTCATTCAATGAAAACCAGTTTAACAAAACATGTTTTGCTGGTGTGAATGGGGTATGTAACTTTGAAGCAAGTGGACACTGTGTGTTGTGGTGAAAATGATAAGGAAGTGCATGATGTTATGAGTGTATCTGTTGTTGTAATATTATACAATTTAAATCTCTGACAAACACCTGATATTCTTTCTAGTTGAAAGCTTTGAAAAAACAAGTTAGTTTATCAGTACTGAAAAGACACAAATTCATTTTAGCAACACCTTTCATTTAGCAAATATTAACCAAACTTGTTAAAATTAGTAAGAACAGCTGGAAACTTCACTACATTATTTATTGCCCAAAGACTAACATTTTCTGATATAGGGCCATTCCAAATTACATGTACTGTCTATAGATGAGGACATCACCTCAGAAATTTGCCAACTAAGAAAGGAGGCAAATTGTTTTTGTGGCATGGAGGGTTTTAGAACAAACCACTAAATTATTTTCTATTCATGAAAAGTCATCTCAGGTTATCACTTAACTTTTTTTCTTGTTCATTGTCTGGATATCTGGGTATCCTGTTGTGAAATGTTTACTTCACGTGTTTACAGTATTTTCAAGTCATTATTGGTTAAAAAAAGGTTTATTCCCAATACATAGAGAATATCTCTTTTCTTAATTTAAAATGCTCTTCTGATACATAATACTGTAGTATTCCACAACACAAGTGTTTGAAATGTATTTCCATATCCCTGTGGAGTCAAAGGAATATCAGCTTCAGATTGGACACTGAAAAGGGTTACTGAAATTCAGTGGCTTCTTTGCCACAAGATATTTCCATTCTTCCCAGTAACAAAGGAATATCAGCTTCAGATTGGACATTGAACAGGATCACTAAAACTGCAGTGACTTCTTTGCCTTAAAATCCTTGCATTCTTCCTAGGTGGCAAAGGAATATCACCTCCAGATTGAACACTGAACAAGGTCACTGAAACTTCAGTGACTTCTTTGCCACAAAATCCTTCCATTCTTCCAAGATGGCAATGAAATATCAGCTCCAGATTGGACACTGAACAGGGTCACTGAAAATTGCAGTGACATCTTTGCCATGAAATCTTTCTATTCCTTTTAGGCGGCAAAGGAATATCAGCTCCAGTTTGGACACTGAACAGGGTCACTGAAAATTGCAGTGACATCTTTGCCATGAAATCTTTCTATTCCTTTTAGGCGGCAAAGGAATATCAGCTCCAGTTTGGACACTGAACAGGGTCACTGAAACTGCAGTGAATTCTTTGCCATAAAATCTTTCTATTCCTTTTAGGCGGCAAAGGAATACCAGCTCCAGTTTGTACACTGAACAGGGTCACTGAAGCTGCAGTGACATCCTTGCCATAAAATCTTCTTATTCTTCCCATTTGGCAAAGGAATATCAGCTCCAGTTTGGACACTGAATAGGGTCACTGAAACTGCAGTGACATCCTTGCCATAAAATCTTCTTATTCTTCCCATTTGGCAAAGGAATATCAGCTCCAGTTTGGACACTGAATAGGGTCACTGAAACTGCAGTGACATCCTTGCCATAAAATCTTTCTATTCCTTTTAGGCGGCAAAGGAATATCAGCTCCAGTTCGGACACTGAATAGGGTCACTGAAACTGCAGTGACATCCTTGCCATAAAATCTTTCTATTCCTTTTAGGCGGCAAAGGAATATCAGCTCCAGTTTGGACACTGAACAGGGTCACTGAAACTGCAGTGAAATCTTTGCCATAAAATCTTTCTATTCCTTTTAGGCGGCAAAGGAATATCAGCTCCAGTTTGGACACTGAACAGGTTCACTGAAGCTGCAGTGACATCCTTGCCATAAAATCTTCTTATTCTTCCCATTTGGCAAAGGAATATCAGCTCCAGTTTGGACACTGAACAGGGTCACTGAAACTGCAGTGACATCCTTGCCATAAAATCCTCCTATTCTTCCCAGTTTGCAAAGGAATATCAGCTCCAGGTTGGACACTGAACAGGGTCACTGAAAATTGCAGTGAAATCTTTGCCATAAAATCTTTCTATTCCTTTTAGGCGGCAAAGGAATATCAGCTCCAGTTTGGACACTGAACAGGGTCACTGAAACTGCAGTGAATTCTTTGCCATAAAATCTTTCTATTCCTTTTAGGTGGCAAAGGAATATCAGCTCCAGTTTGGACACTGAACAGGGTCACTGAAGCTGCAGTGACATCCTTGCCATAAAATCTTCTTATTCTTCCCATTTGGCAAAGGAATATCAGCTCCAGTTTGGACACTGAACAGGGTCACTGAAACTGCAGTGACATCCTTGCCATAAAATTTTCTTATTCTTCCCATTTGGCAAAGGAATATCAGCTCCAGTTTGGACACTGAATAGGGTCACTGAAACTGCAGTGACATCCTTGCCATAAAATCTTTCTATTCCTTTTAGGCGGCAAAGGAATATCAGCTCCAGTTCGGACACTGAATAGGGTCACTGAAACTGCAGTGACATCCTTGCCATAAAATCTTTCTATTCCTTTTAGGCGGCAAAGGAATATCAGCTCCAGTTTGGACACTGAACAGGGTCACTGTAACTGCAGTGAAATCTTTGCCATAAAATCTTTCTATTCCTTTTAGGCAGCAAAGGAATATCAGCTCCAGTTTGGACACTGAACAGGTTCACTGAAGCTGCAGAGACATCCTTGCCATAAAATCTTCTTATTCGTCCCATTTGGCAAAGGAATATCAGCTCCAGTTTGGACACTGAACAGGTAACCAGTCAACTCGCCGACGGACCAACTCGCCGACGCCAACTCGCCGATGTATAAAATCGAGTAGAGCCGTCGGCGAGTTGGTCGTCAATCCAATACAACTTATTAGAAGTTAAACATACAGAGAAGTAAACGATATTTTGTAAAACAACACTGGCGAACATTGGTGAACATCAAACAGAAGCTTAAACATCGGTGAACATTGGTGAACATCACCAATGACTATAACAGCTTCAGACGCGAACGAGTTATTGTGTGACAACAACACCGTAAAGACTCATCATGTCAATCGGTCTTATTTATTTAAGTCAAGACGCTTGGTAAAAAGTCAACGCACTTTTAAATTTTTTGGTCTTACTACTGGTGTTAAATGCAATCGAAAGTGACGGTTTTCTGTGGAGAGCCTCGAGGCGATTAAAGACCTTGTTTTCTGGCGCACAGCTGTTTTCAAACGAGGCGCTCATTTTTTAAAACCAACATGTTTACCTAACACGAGGATCCCTCTTTGCAAAGGCGCCGAATTCGTGTAACTATGTTGATAATACAAGATACACTGATCAAAGCAATGATTTCTAGTTTTTGCAAGAGCATGTATTTGAGTTATTTTCGTTTTCAATCAAATGCGTGGCAAGATGAGGGTGTGATATTTTTTCACTCACAAGTCTCACAACGAAGAAGGTGCAAGGTTTTTTATTTACTTTTGAAAAAAAAAAGCAGGTCTTGCTTAAAAGTAAGTCTCTCCCATTAAAAACTATCAGAGTTTTACAGCGGATTCTAACAATCTTTGTTAAAAGTAAGGAGCTATCAACAGCTTCTCCAAATTTTCGGAGAGAGCAGGCGCTGGCGCACAGCTGTTTTCTAGTTTTCAATCAAACGCGCGGCAAGACGAGGGTGTGATATTTTTACTCACAAGTCTCACAATGGAGAAGTTACGACTTTTTTTTTTTGTTTTATATTCTCTTTCGGAGAAAAAAAAACAGGTACAGATAACTTTCGTAGCGCGAAATTTGATTGCCCAGTAATTTGGAAGATGAATCTGACAGCGTCAATGACGTGTTGAATATACACGTAACCTGTTGAGCAAAAAAAAAAAGAAACAAGCAGGACATGACGATGCGAAAAAAATCTCAGCTCCTGCTAAAAAATTGTGGGAGGAGATTATTCAGTTTTTCGTGCTTACGAAGCGCATTGTTCTAATTTTCTGTCAAATGTTTTTTTACTAAATATCGTTTAATTTTCTGTATGTTTAGCTTCTAATAAGTTGTATTGGATTGACGACCAACTCGCCGACGTCTCTACTCGATTTTATACGTCGGCGAGTTGGTGTCGGCGAGTTGGTCCGTCGGCGAGTTGACCGTAAACCACTGAACAGGGTCACTGAAACTGCAGTGACATCCTTGCCATAAAATCCTCCTATTCTTCCCAGTTTGCAAAGGAATATCAGCTCCAGGTTGAACACTGAACAGGGTCACTGAAAATTGCAGTGAAATCTTTGCCATAAAATCTTTCTATTCCTTTTAGACGGCAAAGGAATATCAGCTCCAGTTTGGACACTGAACAGGGTCACTGAAACTGCAGTGAATTCTTTTCCATAAAATCTTTCTATTCCTTTTAGGTGGCAAAGGAATATCAGCTCCAGTTTGGACACTGAACAGGTTCACTGAAGCTGCAGTGACATCCTTGCCATAAAATCTTCTTATTCTTCCCAGTTGGCAAAGGAATATCAGCTCCAGTTTGGACACTGAACAGGGTCACTGAAACTGCAGTGACATCCATGCCATAAAATCTTCTTATTCTTCCCAGTTGGCAAAGGAATATCAGCTCCAGTTTGGACACTGAACAGGGTCACTGAAACTGCAGTGACATCCATGCCATAAAATCTTCTTATTCTTCCCAGTTGGCAAAGGAATATCAGCTCCAGTTTGGACACTGAACAGGGTCACTGAAACTGCAGTGACATCCTTGCCATAAAATCGTCTTATTCTTCCCATTTGGCAAAGGAATATCAGCTCCAGTTTGGACACTGAATAGGGTCACTGAAACTGCAGTGACATCCTTGCCATAAAATCTTCTTATTCTTCCCATTTGGCAAAGGAATATCAGCTCCAGTTTGGACACTGAACAGGGTCACTGAAACTGGGGTGACATCCTTGCCATAAAATCTTTCTATTCCTTTTAGGCGGCAAAGGAATATCAGCTCCAGTTCGGACACTGATCAGGGTCACTGAAAATTGTGGTGACATCTTTGCCATAAAATCTTTCTATTCCTTTTAGGCGGCAAAGGAATATCAGCTCCAGTTTGGACACTGAACAGGGTCACTGAAGCTGCAGTGACATCCTTGCCATAAAATCTTCTTATTCTTCCCATTTGGCAAAGGAATATCAGCTCCAGTTTGGACACTGAACAGGGTCACTGAAACTGCAGTGACATCCATGCCATAAAATCTTCTTATTCTTCCCATTTGGCAAAGGAATATCAGCTCCAGTTTGCAGAACTGCAGTGACTACTTTGCCTTAAAATCCTTCTTCCATGGAGGCAAAGGAATATCAGCTCCAGATTGGATGCTGAACAGGGTCACTGAAACGGCAGTGACATCCTTGCCATAACTCTTTATATTCTTTTTAAGTGGCAAAGGAATATCAGCTCCAGGTTGGACACTGAACAGGGTCACTTAAACTGCAGTGACATCCTTGCCATAAATCTTTATATTCTTTATAAGTTGCAAAGGAATATCAGCTCCAGATTGCACACTAAACAGGGTCACTGAAACTGCAGTGACATCCTTGCCATAAATCTTTATATTCTTTTAAAGTGGCAAAGGAATATCAGCTTCAGATTGGACACTGAACAGGGTCACTGAAACTGCAGTGACATCCTTGCCATAAATCTTTATATTCTTTTAAAGTGGCAAAGGAATATCAGCTCCAGATTGGACACTGAACAGGGTCACTGAAACTGCAGTGACATCCTTGCCATAAATCTTTATATTCTTTTAAAGTGGCAAAGGAATATCAGCTTCAGATTGGACACTGAACAGGGTCACTAAAAATGCAGTGATATCCTTGCCATAAATCTTTATATTCTTTTAAAGTGGCAAAGGAATATCAGCTCCAGATTGGACACTGAACAAGGTCACTTAAACTGCAGTGACATCCTTGCCATAAATCTTCATATTCTTTTAAAGTTGCAAAGGAATATCAGCTCCAGATTGGACACTGAACAAGGTCACTGAAACTGCAGTGACGTCTTTGCCATAAAATCCTTCCATTCTTCCAAGGTGGCAAAGAAATATCAGCTCCAGATTGGACACTGATCAGGGCCGCTAAAATTGAAGTGACTTCTCTGCCATAAAATCCTTTTATTCTTCCAAGGTGGCAAAGGAATATCAGTTCCAGATTGGACACTGAACAAGGTCACTGAAACTGCAGTGCCATCCATGCCATTAGACGTCTTTAAAGGAGGCAAAGGAATATCAGCTCCAGTTTGGACACTGAATAGGGTCACTGAAACTACAGTGACATCCTTGCCATAAAATCTCCGTGGTTTCCTTACTGTGAATTGGTGGAGAGAAGCACTCTGAGAGTGAAGTGTTAACACATTGACCCATAATTCAATCAATGCCTACTGAGGACATTAGGTAAAGTCTGTCTCACTTATGGATGAGAAATTGAGTATAAAATTAAGGAAAGATGAAGACTTTCTCTAATGAGTAAACATGCTTTGCCAACAGTGACTTCAAGAACTGCATGTGCATAATCATTTCACCACATGGTACCCTGATATTTTTGCAATTACCAAGGAGAAAAGTGCATCTAACAATGTTGTTTAGAAGGGATTTTTTTCTCTGTTTCCATGTTGGCAAATTTCTGACATGCATAGCACTTGCCTGCAGAAGCTAATTTTGATTAGACTTCCTGATAAGGCAGAAAATGTTAATCTTTAAGTCATCAGCATTGTGGCCAAGTTTCATTTTGTTGTTATTAATTTTAACAATTCATTGTATTTTGTGTTTGATAGCAGCTGACCTGTTCTTGTTTATTACATTGAGCTGATCATCTTTTTCTCAGAATCAGGTTCACATGTTCATGGATCTCTTCCAAACTGATCCAGCTTCAGAAATAGATAGGCAATGGTATGTACACATAATTAAAGTTCTTTTTTCTATAATTTCTGATCCTAACTGGTTCAACTTCCATAGGGAAACATGTAATCTGTTCTGGGATGTTATTTTGATACAATCTACCTGCTCCTAATAGGAAAGGGTGGGCCTTCCCATATAAGATAGCCTACAGAGCTGGCGTAATTTTGGACAGCAGGTGTTCAGTATTTTCTTAGTGAAAATTATGGCCGCCATCTTTGATTTTAATGGCAGTGGAAGGCTGGGGAGAGAATTGGGTGAGCGATGGTCAAAAATAAGGAGATGGGTGGGAGAATGAATGTTTTTATCTTTCCCCGCCCCCTCCCCCACTGCTGCCTCCATCTTCATATCAAACATGGCCGGTTGAATTAACAATCGCGAGCTTCTTAACGTTAACTCGCCCTAATAAGACGCCTTTCCTGCAGGCTATATATAAGAAAGAGGTAAGTTATTTTTATCTTGCCCAGGTGTGTTAATCGCAAATACTGGCTGGTTAGGCTGTTGAGAAAAAAATAAAATGTCACATATCAAATGTTTATTTACAGTGTATCAGGGTGTGATGATAAGGTTGTGTGTAAGGAAATAACACGAGTTGCCAGTTGAACTTTATTTTCCCAAAATATCAAATTTAAAGTGGTATTTTTAGGGGTTGAGCTTAATTTTTTCTCTGATTGGTCTTGTCAGGTGGGGTATTCAAAATGTTAAGCGACAGTAATTTTTCTTAAAGTAATTTAAAAAGATAATAATGCTCTCGTTAATTTGATCCAACAGCTTATGTACAGAGTTATCCCAGTGGCTGATTGAGAACAAACTTGTGGAACACTTGTTTGGTCCAAATTTACATGTTGAGGTGATTCTTGTTAAGCAGAGGAAATCACTTCTTTATTTATGAATGGAAAAAAAAGGGAACTAGACACAGAGAGTTATGTAGCTAACAGATATTCCCTTTTGGAGCTAAACGTCTCGTGAACACCAAGTTTCATTTCTCTAACAAGAATAATAATTTTTCTTGGTATCAATGTTTGCCTAGTCATTTCGACATCTAAACAAGCTATTAGCGTCAATTGGGCTTCCTTGCCATTCCCCCAAAATTCGTAATATTATTGAACTGCTATTGTAAATGATGCAAGTGTAATCTCTGTCCTCTCTGATGTGATGTGATCTCTGCAATCTTTCTTTTTTTTATGCCTTGTGAGAAATAAATTTGTTGAAATAAATTGAATTCAACAGTTAGCAAAGGTGCGTTTGATCTCACTATTAAAATGACTTGTTTCTATATTTTGTAGCTTCTTAAACAGTCTCAGATCATACTGAATTATTTGGCTCGGGAGACGTGCCTGACTACCTCTCACTTAGACTGCATCTGGCTTGCAGCACAGGTACATATTGCATTTACAGCAGTCATGTCGAAATCCATGTAAATTATTTGTTGTCTCCGCTCGCTTGGCCCTAAGCACTGATTGCCACAGTTCAATATTGTTGGAATGGTTTTTTGGGTTTTGTTTCCCAACGGACAATCGGTTAATTCTGAGGTGACCTTGATAGCTTGAGGGGGACTTTAAGATACACTCCTGTTGACTGACCTCTGCTTCAATTTTAGCTGAAACATGCCAGCCGATATGTTCATGATCTTCTGACTGTGCTAACAAAACATATGGATATGCCCTCTATCTTGTACCTACTGGACTTGGTCTCAAAGCTACCACCAGCAGCTCACACCCGGCAGACCCTCTACCTTGCACTTGTTCTGATTAGAATTGTCTGGAGAGCAGGCTTGTCTCCTGCAGTGGCAGAGTCTGGTACAGCCGTGCACACGAACAGCCCTGTGCATGGACCATTGACTGCTGGTGAGTAATGTAGTAGTAACTTTCTCATTTGTCATTCAGGTTTGTTGTTGTTGTTGTTGTTTTGTATTGTTTTTTTAGTTTTTTGCAAAGGAGGGTCTGACTGTTTTCACAAAGGAGGCAACTGTTATGCAGTTGTTAGGACTCTTAAACTGAAAACTTTCATTCTGATTTCTAGAACTTTCGTTATTACACCACTTCATCAATCACAACTTTTCAATTGAAAAAGTTAAATATTTAGGGTCAGTGTTAGCAAGGCTCTGGGCTGGGTTGTTCAAAGCTGGGTTTAGATAAACCAGGGTTAGTGTGAAATTGGATTTCAGTTCTGGAAGTTTTAAAGGAAAATTCAGTATGATTCTTTTTGTCAACAATTTGATGATTGGATACTCCATATAGAGAAGAGAAAATGATCCCAGAAAGGCTATCGAACAAAGAAGTATAGAAACCCAGATTAAAATTTAACCCTTGGTTAGCGCTAATCAGCTTTTGAAAAACTGGGCCCTGGATAACAAAAGCAGAAAGCAAACAGATTGGCATATGTCACAGGGGAGATATGTTCCCAGCTTCAAGCCGAGGGAGGGAGGATGTAGTTAAAATGTCCTTTACACAACAACAAAAGGGCAGCTACTTCAATGAGAATCTCATAATTGGGAATCCACTTACTTGTTGTTCAAGGCGAACAGGTTTCGTAGTACTGCTACCAAATCGAAAATATTAGAATTGGGAAGCCACTAACTTGTTGTTGGAGGCATATACGCACAGCAGTGCTACCAATTAGACCGTAAGAGTTGATTAGGGATTAATATTTTATTCTTAAAATGAATTCCAAGGGAGCACCAGTGCAGCGGTAGCATCAGCCATGCAGAGGAAATTCAGTCGAACAGCAAGTCTTAGCCAGAGTAGCAGCAGGAGTGGCAGCCTGAGTGATATAAGTTGCGATGCTGAACAGCTTGACATGGAAGAATCACTGACTCATGGTCGTCAAAAATATACGCGGTATGCAATCTGGTGCTGCATTGGTGTACAATTTCTTTTTATTTCAATGGAGCTTGATAGAGCGAAAATGATTGAGGGATGAGTCGGAAAATAGTAACACAACCAAACAAAAACTATTGTGCCTGAATATTTGTTCTTGAAAGTCGTATGGATGTAACCTATATTGTTGTAACCTACTTGCTATTACAGTTATATATATACAGTCGAACTTGGATTATCCGTACGTACGAGAACTGGGCTGAAAAGAGAGTCCGGATAATTGATAATGTGAATATTAATCAGCCTAAATTAGAACTGAATACACAATGAGCATAAGCACTTTCTCAAATCATTGTAGATCATTTTAAACATTTTCCAAAAGTAGGTACAAAAAGTTATTTAAGCTAACCAACAACATTTAAAGTCGACCTTTAAAAATTAGTGCAGACGTAAATCAGTTTGTTTCAAGCTGCTACTGCGCTTGCGTGTTGCTAATTTTTATCATTCTTGAAACTTCATTTGTGGTATAGTGTCAACTTCGCTTTGTCTTTCCATCTATGTGAAACACTTCCTAAAACATTTAACAGCCTCAGAAAGCGTAACAAATTCATTTCCATCGGGATATTAATGACGTGTGCTTTGTTTGGTGGAAGGAAGTTGTTACAGATCTTAATTGTTGGAAATCATTATTCAAAATAAACGGGACGAGAGAAGCAATTCCGAATACGGTATTCAAAAAATGCAGATAATCGAGGTCCGGATAGTCCAGGTTTGACTGTATTCTGTTGTTGTAGTCTTTCCTCTAAGGGGAGTGCTGACATGGAAACAGAAGAGATCCCTCACCCCCCTGAACTTAGGCAGACCTACGCGGGCCAAGCTGAAGATTATTCTAGCCAAGATAAGACAGGTGGAGAAGATGCAGACATCGATAGCACCAGCTGCACAAACAGCCGAGGTAGCTCTCTGTCAGATAGGCGTGACCTGGATGATTTTGATGCGGAGGGAGTCCAAGATGAACTGACACAGCTTAAGACGGTGGCAGCTCTGCGTGTCATGCAGGAGGGGGGAGAGGAGCGACAGAGAAGCTTAGGATTTGATTTGAACACTGTGTGTGAGCAAGGAAAGACACTACTTTGGGATCTTATTCAAGACGATAATGCTGTAAGTAGTAACTTTATCTTTTGTTATGGCATTACTAACGATATTTAAAACTATTGGAAAAAATGCATCTTTGCTGGTTTCACGCGGCCAAGAGACTTTTGGGAAATTTTAAGCAACCTCACGCAGTGCTCACCGATTATGTTGGAAATTTCCAAAAAAGTACGTGAGTGTCTTGGCCGAGATGAAAAGCCGCGTCATACTAGCCACAAATTTTTTTTTTTTCCCACAAGTAATTTTGTAAACTTTTACTATCAAATCAAAACGTTAATTTTTCAATGTGTTTAGATTCACCTTTCTGATGGATTGGTCCAGGAGGCCGAAAAGCTTCTGTGTCAGTTGATATGTTACACTGGCGAGAAGAAAATCAGGATGAAGTTTATCGAGGGATGTGTGGCTAATTTGGCCGCCAACAGGTAGTTGATTATTTCTGGAATTACATTTGTGATGTTGACTGTCTAAAATTTGTGTTTCTTTTAATGTTTTTGCTAAGTTTACGATTTTCCACGGAAAAAGAATATTTATATGTATTTGATACTGGATATTTTGAAAATGGTCAGCGGTTACCTCATGTAAAACTATCAAATAGCTTAGATTTGATTAATCCATCTTCGCTCCTGCTGGGAAGCATAGGGAGTTGACCGTGGATCTCAATTGGACCCTGTTTTGGGCACTTCCTTTTGCCTCTCCCTTGGTGATGTTATTCATGTTCAGTTCATCTTGGACGGCGCGCCTCTAAGACTGCTTTGGATTGCCTCTAAGGTGTACTATATACGTGTTACAACGCTGACTTTTTTACTTTTCTCCAGGTCTGTTGTGATGTCAATTCAGCTGTTGCCCAAATTGTTCAGCTCATTCCAGCAGTTTGCATCCAGTGATCAAGGGCCTCATTGGGTGACAACATGGGCCAGTAAAGAACTCAACATGATGGAGCTTTTTTTTAACAATATTATTCAGTATGAAGAAAGTGTCGCCAAGGGTGATATCACCAACAGTTCATTGTACAGTTCAGTGGAAGAGGTGCAAGCTAGACTGCAGTTTTTGTCATCTGTGTTCTCTTGTGAGCTGTCACCCCAGGATTTTAGTAAGCTGGAAATGTTGTTCGTTTACACTTAGCCTTTTAACTCCCACAAGTGACAAGGCAGAAATTCTCCTTACAATATCAATACAATATCCAGCAGACAAGTGATGAGAATTTAAAAAATATCAATTAGGGGATTATTAGTTGATTCAATACCAATTTCTCCAAACTAACATCACAAGAGCTGTATGGCAGACCGGAAGGAGAATTACCAATGAGATCTTGGGAGTTAAAAGGTTAATTATTATAGCATACAGCCAAGGTGCAATTATCTGAAATGGGTTTTGTATAATAGCTGCAATCATAAAACTAGTAGAACTTTTGTCTGCACTTCTCAGCGCTCTGCTTCTTTTTCATTGAGTGTTGGATTTGTGGTTTGTTTTACAAGAGGCTGTTGCCATTTCCATCCGTTTGGTCTCTTTACTGCACTTTGTTATGAAATCAAACAAAAAAATGGTAGTTACTCATGCACCTCTTCCCCTTCTTTCCCCCCCCCCCCCCCAAGCATCTTGTCAGCTCCTGTGTGTAGAAATATACATAATGAGAGTTGAGTACCGCAACCTATCTGTGTCAACAATAAAGCACAATGACGTGATTAGGGCTCTTAAACAAAAATCCTATCACATAGTCTTGGCCCAGTTGTTCGAAGCCCCGAATAATGCTATCCAACGGATAAATCGCTATCTAGCAGATAAGCGTCAACGAAGCGCACTATGCTACGCATCAGATAGAGATTTATCCAATGGGTATCGTTATCCACCCTTCGATCAACCGAGGTCAGCACGCTTGCCGTGAGGGCACCATTTTTTCCTGTGGATACTTGAATGAAGGAATCTTTCCTTACTCTGTTTCAGAATTGAGTGCCGGTCAAGTGGATGTGCTGTGGGATTGTCTGGTGTGTGATTCAGAGAGTTCCGATGATACACTGGAGTGGTTTTTGCAACAAGCACAAAGTAAAGAATTTCATGCTCTGGATGTTTCTGCTTTGCAGTACATTTTGGCTGAGAAGGTAACGCCTCTGATATAATTACTATGTAAAGAAAAAAGTCTGTTGTATCAAGGATCTGCAGCACTAATGAATTTGCAATGCTAATCTTTCCCAGCTGCCATCTCTGCCAGCTGAGAAGTTCTCCATGACAGGCCTACACCTTCTGCAGCAACTCTACAAGATGTTCAAACACGCGGACGTGAAACCTTGTGATCCTTCAAAGGTAGTACGATGTTACACGTAAGGTCATTTAACCCTTTAACTCCCGTGAGTGACCAAGACAGAATTTCTCCTTAATATATCTATACAATATCATGCAGACAAGTGATGAGAATAAAGAAAAATGTCAATTATGGAATTACTAATTGATCTGATACTAAATTCTCAAACTAACATAATGAGAATGGTTTGGCGGACAGTGAGGAGAATTACTAATGAGATCTTGGGAGTTGAAGGGTAAAGCATGAAACACCATCAGACTGTTACTATCATTTCTGGCAGTTTTAGTAATTTGCTCTCTTTCCACAAAAAGCTGAAACGAAGTGTTAAGTTTCTGAGGCGAGAGATAACGAAGAAGCTCACGTATTCAGTAATAATAAAAATAATTCGCGAGGTTATGGTCAAAAACATCACGCTGGGTCCGAGCGAAGTTCAGCCGCATGACTCATGAATACGGCAAAATGTAAGAAGCTTCAAGTCTTGTTGAAAAAAAAAAAAATGAATCGCACGAATATTCCTTTGATTCCTCGACTCGTGCCTCGATTCTCGAACACTTCGAGAATCGAGAAACTTACCTTGGAGCAGCACTATACATACGGCGGCATGTTAATGAATATTCTTATCCATGCCAAAAGTTTCCAATTTTTATTTCCATGATATCAAAAGTAGAATTACCTGAAGTGTTCATTATTTCATGGAAGAACATTTATGTCCCTTTCAGTTGTGCGGTATAGACCAGCTATGGAATATAGCTGTGCAAGTAAGATCCTCAGAGGTTAGCTGGGCGGCTATTACATACCTGAACTCTCTGTACATAAATGGTAAGCATACATTCATTTTTCTCTAAGATTTGTAAATATATATTTTAGCTAGGACTGTGGTATTGAAGTGATTTACAGCAACCTTAAAGACTGTTTTTAATGGTATCTATTATAATACTCACTACTTCAGCAAATGGAGGTGCTTTGAAGTTTGAAGATGAGTTCATTCAGAGGTGTATGAATATCATTGGGGGAGCTTCGAAACAGTTGAATCAGGTAGAGTAGCTTTTGTCCCATTTATTCATATATTTATATATTTACTTGTTCAAAAGTTTCAGTTGTGATGGATTTGCTCAACTTTTTATTACAGGAACAGAACCTTCAGATAATGGAGAGGGGTTTGCTTTTATTAAAGAGTCACATCGAAAGTTTTAAACGAAGGTTTGTTTAGCAGAGTGGTAGAAGCTGCTTCTGTAGCTTTAACGTTTCTAACTGAAAACTCTTCTTAATAACATTCTTTGAGTTATTATTACTTTTTTAAATGTTCATCTGACCGTCAAATATTTTTTTAGGTCTAGTTTAATATTCTTTTCTCTACGATGCATTTAAAAAGACAATAGAACTCACAGTAAAAACCAACCGAACCGCCTAAAGCGCGGGAAAGCGCGGGCGACCAAGCCGTGATTGGTTTCAGTTTTGCATCTGATTGGTTGCGAGAACTGCGCGAGTCTTTTGGACTAATCATAGAGCGAAATAAAGGAAAATCAGAGCAATCCCAGATTACTTTTTGACACTCAATTGAAAATTGCCCTAAAAGAAAGGTGCTTGGTGTTTTTTTTTTCGTTATCAGCGCGAGGCACAGGGAGAAAGATCTGAGGCCCTAACCCCAGCCACTTTCGATTTATTGGTTGGATAACTGTTTTGAAAGTTTTTTTTTTCTTTTTCTTGCAGGTTTGCATTTCATTTACGTTTGTGGTGGCTGGAAGGAAGAGGCATCACTTGCCATCAACAGATCACTCAGAGGCCCACAGAGAAACATTACCCCATCCGAGTTCTTTGTCAACCTGCTGGCCTCTCAGACAAGGTAATGCAAGGTTTACACACTGTGTAAGCTTTAAAGTATGAAAAGACAATAAAGGAGGCTCCATATTACACATTTTTTGACGAAGCACCAAAAACTCGAACCTTAGTAACTCCGTTTTTGACGAAACACCAAAAACTCGAACTCTATTCTGAACTCATATGAAATAAATGCTCATACAAGGCTAACGTTGATTCTATTTTCCGTTAAAACTGATGTGTCAGAGTTTAATTATCATTACAACATTACTGACTACTAGATCAGGTAAGAAGGGCCTCTCTTTAGTGCATGCCAAAATAATTCCACCAGCCGGCTTTGATACCTCGTAAGTTATTGGCAACTTGTTATCGCGAAAAGGAAAATTTTTTTGCCAGTTTTTACTACGGTGGAAGTGTAAAGCACTGTAACAGTTGGTCAGTTGTTCGTATCAATACGGTTGCGAAACGCAGTATCGGTCAATGTCACTTATTACTTACCTCTCATTTAATTATTTTTCGTGATAACATTAGGGTACCTTCGAGATGAACTCATCAGACCTTGTTGCGGACCTTCGAGCAGAGGTGACATTTTGGTGCCGACAGCTCCAGGACAAGTTAAAGAAAGACACTCAGCTTGTCGACGGCTCTTCTCAACACACGCCCCTATCTCCCTTCTCCTCTCAGTTACATCCCCCCTTCAGACTCATATCCCAGGGGCATGAACTGACGCCCGACTTGGATGAAAAGAGCCTTGCAGAAGTTGGCTTTAAAGATTTGCAGGTGCAGTGGAAAGTCTTGTGATTCGACTGTATTTTTTTTTCTTTCTTTCTTTTTGGTGTCAAAGTAAAGATGGTCGCAAGGAAGTGGCTAGGACTATGGCTACAACCCCTCCCCTCCTCCTCACACGACACGACACCCCCCCCCCTCCCCCCCACACACATACCTACACTCACAAATGCACCTGTAGCGATTTGTGCGATACTCTTTTTTTTTTCTTTTTGCTGAATGTCTTCAAACGCATCAGTGTTTAACTGAGTACTATTTCATCCGTTTCGCAGCTTGTCTTTGTATCTGTTGGAGCTGTTAGAAGAGACAGACATCATGACAGTGGTTACATTCCTTCGTCTTCTTTACCATCGCCGGAATGGAATTCCACACCCATGATAATTCTACTTCATGAAAAATACTTTGATCAACTTTTTTTATTCTTAGAAGCCTTAGACGGCTTTATTGGCTCCAAGAGCAGCTCTTCTGAAAGTCCCTTAAGCGATTCTTCACAATTGTCCCCAGTATCCAAGAAAATAGTGGAAGCCAACAAGGCACACGACGAGTGTGAGGAAATGGACCGTGGGTCTGAAAACCAAGGGAAACCTCCACTGCTACCACTGATGGAAAGCCGTGTTGAATTTTTATGCGGTATAACTTGGGAGCTCTTGTTTCTTTTACCAACTAATCAATCTATTCTTAATAAGCTCAAGTATTTTGGTCGAGTTTTACACCAAGATCCCAAGCGAAGAGACACCAAGAGTGACGAAGAGCAAAGAGCAGAAAAAGCTCAACCGGAGAAGAAACTTTGGGATTCGTTATTGGATCCAAACTTCCCCCATAAACTTCTTTATTCTCTTCAAGTGATAGACTTAATACATAATTCTTCAAAGGAATCACAAACGCAGTTTTCTCCCACTTATTCACGTCTGAGCAGTGATTCAGACATCTCTGACAACGAGGAGGAAAAGGAAACGGCAACCTCACAAGTGCAGATAGCTTCGTGGGGACTGCAGTTTATTGAGTATGGAGGACTAGGTCACTTGTACTCAATTCTTATGTCTGGTTGCTTGGAGGTCAGTGGGAACTGCTTATGGACGCAATGGAGGCAAGAATGTCTTGCACATTTGTTGAAACTGATTTGTGAGTTTGGGACAATGAAGCGAAGTAATGAGGATGACGATGAGGTGTTTGCGTCGACAGAAAGTATCGCTAGTAAGTCACAGATTCAGAAAAGAGACGGACAGTTCCGTGTACGATACAAGAGTACTGACAAAGAGGAGGTGATCTGCATCAAGTGTTTGTCCTCTAATCTTATGTCTATTGTTGATGTTAACTCATTACTGGAGAAATTACTACACATTTCTCATCAGGCAACTTTACCAATCCACGGAGGCCAAAACAGAGCCAGTGGAGGGGACGGTAAGTTTAATTTTTGGCAGGTTGGGTTCCATTTACCACTTGAAATTTTTCCCTTTTTGCAATTGACAATTTCCCCATACTTATGGCTCAATGCCAGATAATGTCATTTGTAATGCCAGGTTCGCGGCGATTTTCGAAGAGCCAGAGGTCACTTGTCAACAACTTGCAGCGTTGAACTTAAAATCAGCTGTGCTTAACGATTATTTATTGACGATAATCGAACGTAAAACATCGGTTCGCGCTTGCTTGCACTCTTAATAGCCAAGGGTCACTTAGACTTAATTTACTAAAAACACGTGTGCAAGCTCTGTAAAGCTGAAACTAGCACCTCTGAAAGATGGCCGCTTATAGCATCTATATACGCCCACTTGTTAAAGCTTATGACGTAATGGCTAAGTAAAAATTGACGAATTGGCGAAGAGGATTGAGGATAACCATTAGAATGAAGAAGCCTCGATTTAACGTTTATTGCATCATTATTACATATATGGATCGTGTGGTGTGATCATCCGGGATGAGGCAGTCCTGAATGTGACTGTCAGTCAGGGGGTATTCAGGATTTTTTCGATGCATGGAGGGTGGGGGGTTTCAAATTTTTATTCAGAAAAACAATCTTTCTTTGAAAGAAACCTCGTCTTAGACATGTAATAAAACTACCCACAAGTGTAAAAGGTGGAGGAGGACCCTCGATTCCTTCCCCTGGATCCACCACTGACTATTATTGGTGACATTGTCTGTCATCTCAATAAACTGACCAGAAGCTGTCAACGACAGGAGTCCGTGAGGGGGCTTGCTTACCGGGACGATCACACCAGATGATTGAATACGGAGATTGAAAAACAAGACTAGGTAGTAGCGCAAAGTTTGCCGGCAGTGATGGAAGTTTGCACAGAAGAGTGAAACGTATTTTTTCTTCCGAATATCAACTTACCAATGAGTATGTTTATCGGAAGTTGACATAATCATTGTCATTTTGAACATGTTAGCCTACCGATCTTAGTCAACAAGATGGTTTTAATTTCTTATATTTGTTGTGTTTCTCGTCCAGTGGTTCGTCACGCTGTATCATTGCTTGTGTCTGCGGCCTTCACTGATGGTACTGTCAGGAGCTCCCTTCTTCAGCAAAGTAACTTCAAACCTTGGCTTCAGCAGCTGGTGCTTTTAGCTAAAGAGGTAAAGTTCAGGTTTCGCCTTGTGTTGTCAGAAGAAAATATTGATTCGAAAAAAGAAACGGTGTATGATGTGTATTCTTTTTTTGAAATTTCATGTCTTTTTCCTTTTTTGAGTGTCCCAGAAACACTTAAACGAATTGCCCGATCTGAACCGGGTAATAATTATATTTAGAGCTTCCCTCACTCAGCTTGCCTTCTTGCGATTCACTCAAGCTCATATAATGTTGCAAAGGGCCACGTGAAGGTTAGGGTATGGAGTGTTGAAAGTATTACGGTCATCCCCAGTAGGCCAGTGATGCACTTCAGCGAATCAGTGAGATTTCATTATTTAACACAAATTAATTAGGTCATTATTTTTTCTTCATTTTCTATTATTTTGCAATTCTCAGCCCAGTGTACGATTTGAAGCGTGCCGTGGACTTTACAGACTAAGCCTAATCAAAGAGAACTCCTGCCTTACGCAGCTGATGGATGCATTGCTTGACTCACTGCCGCTGGCGCAATCTCTTCAATCGAGAGAAAATCCCCACGGACGGCGACAAGAGCCCAGTGCCCGGGAGTACTTTTCTATTTTGTGTCGACTTGTGGATGGCCTCCCCACTGTGGAAGACGGTCAAAAGGTAAGCATGTATTTATTTTCACGTCTAGACACTCCGGGAAACAAAGGTACCTGTATGTAAGTTTTGCCATTAACATGCTACGAAAAAGGTAAATAAGGAAAAAGAGAAATGTATGATATAATTAAAGAAAAGTTTGTTTGTCGCACGTTGGCCTCGCGCCTCTTTGCATACTATAGGAGAGGCAAAGGTATGTAAGTGTTACCTCCAATGTGCCTCGATAAAGGTAAAAAAAAGAAAAATAGAAATGTAATGATACAATTGAATAAAAGTTTGGTTATCGTACGTTCGCCTCGCGCCTCTTTGCATACCAGAGGAGAGGTAAAAACTTGTGTCAAAGGGGACAATGTACTCAAGGTAACGATGTCTTGATGTGTCGTTACTTCAATTCTAATATGATAGAGAAAATGCACTTAGTTTTCCACACTGTCAATTTTCATCAGGGCGATGAGGTTGACTTGGACTCCTTGGCTAAACTGCTGGCCAAATACATACGAGACTGGTAAGTACGGAAAACGTCGTAATCTTGTATGATTGGGTTCCCGAAGGCTTCAAACCCTGATGTTCTGTAAGAAAAAAAACTTGGCATCTTGCTCGAGAAAAGTGTAGCATATAGAGACAGAATGGTTCGAGAGACAGTTCGTTGTGTCACCTTTGTAAACAGCGCACTGTCGTGTCAAACATTATACAAGACCTACGGTCCAATGAGACAGCTGTCTAAGACGTTTGGTGGTAAAATTGTGGACCCTGTTTGGGACTTATCCCTTTACTCCTTAGTATTAGTCTGCATATTCTCCATACTTTTCTCCTTACCTTTCCTGTGGTACCAAGAAGGAGAACTTGTTGAACAATCAAGAGCTTCTACTGTTGAGATCATTTTCCTCCTTCTCATGACCTTAATGAATGATGTAGAGTTAGTACTGTAAGGAGAAATCAGTGTTTAGTCACTCAGTGGTGAATGAGTTAAGACTCAAATACTGTATTTAAGTCCTATAAAAGTATCTCCTCCCTCTCCCCTTCCCTCGCACAATATAATCAGACTCATTTTATGCTCTGGTTTTTCTCTGCCTTCTCTTCATAGTCAACCGCGCACCAAGCAGAAGTATGGCAGCCATGAAAATGAAGGCCTTAGTGGAATGTTGAAACTGTGCACTGCTGTTATGAGACATGACCCCTCGTTCAAGATGTCGACTGATGGTTTGGTAAGTGATTTTTAGATGATTCATTACTTTTGATTTGTTTGTTTTATTTATTTCTATATGATTTCTTTATTTGTTCATTTAGTATTTATTTATTTGTCTTTTCTCTATCACGATTGCTCATAACAGCGGTTCCAAATGGCCAAATTTTGCCGCACGAGAAAAAATGAATTTCTACGACATTTTGTTATCAAAATGAAGTTGTGTGCTTGTTTATGTGGTCTTTCCTGGTTTTTTTATTCTTTCATTTGATTGTTAGTTTGTTTGTTTTTGCATTTCTTGAGTTTGAAGCTAGGTTTTTTTAATTGGAGATGATATTATCGTCAACTTTCGAAGTCGCCTGACCGTTTGAATTACTTATGCTTTTGGTTTTCAGGAGTTTCTGCGAGACGTGTTCCACTCTTGTCTGTTTTCTCTACCAGAAGATTGTTGTGATGAGAGGGACTTGCCACTCTGCAAATCTAAGGTAAAGATGCAATGCAGTACTTTACAACAGTACTGACGTTTGCGACGATTAAAGTGAAGCTGTGTGTCAAGGTGGTTTCTTTCGCACAAAATTGCCCTCGCAGTCATTGGACACTAAATGTGCGTTAAATTATGTGCTGATCATAGTGCCTGGGCGAATCAAATTACATTCTAGGATCATTTTACGAGTAAATCGTTACTGGTTTATAAGCATCACGCTCACCAACATGTGTCTAAGAGAAGAAATTCCAGCCTTGTGTTTGACAGTTAGTTGGGAATTGGTTTTTGTCGGGAAATTGAATACAGTGGTGACTGTTCCTCTAGCAGAAAAGTATAGCCACAATTGGGAGACAAGTTTTGTTCCTACAACATTCCAGCAGGGTCCACGTCTTAACTAATTCTCTATTTGCATTAAAGCCGGCCAGGAGTGCAGCCTTTGATCTTCTTCTCGAGATGGCTCGAGGCTGCCAAGACAACTTCCTTGAAATCCAAAAACTGTTGATGAAACATCACAGCTCTGGTAAGAGCTCCTTTATCACTAGGCTAGAAAATAACCTTCTTCCTTTCTATCAGAGTCAAGTCCTAGCCGTAAGCAGAAAGTTTGTCGTATGAACCAAGCTTATTGCGACTTGAAGTCATCTGCAGATCAGTGGTTAAAAAAAATTACAAATCTTAGGGTCAAGCAAATCCTGTGGAGAGCACTGTGAATTTTTCTTTTTTGTAAATGCAATAGGGAGACGATGAGGCTCTTTGATTAGCGCGCGAGACTGGTTCTAGAGGTCTGCGTTTGAGTCCTCGACAGGTCCTATTGTTTTGTTCTCGTTTTCCTGTTCATAGATGGTAGAAAACGTTCCTCTTATGGTTGGCATTACTGGCCCCATGACAATGGCCGTTCACTCTGTGGGCTGGTTGGAATGATCAATTTAGGAGCCACGTGTTACATGGCCTCCTGCATGCAGCAGCTGTACATGATGCCTCAGGCCAGGGCCGCTATTCTGAACTCGAGGGTGAGTTTTATTAATCCCTAACACCCTAACATTGGTGTGCATATTCTCTATACATTTCCCAATACAAAAACCAAACTGCCTACAGCGCAGGAAAACGCGGGCCACCAAGTCGTGATTGATTTTAAGTTTTGCATTTTGATTGCTTGAAAAAGTGGCGTGACTCTTCTGGATCAATCACAAGACGAAGTAAAGCAAAGCCGAAGCAATTCCGGATTACCTTCGACACCCAATTGAAAATTGCTCAATGTATCAAGATTTAGAATAGAGTTCTTATCTCGTAAGATTTCGTTTGTTAACAAGTGATCTGTTTGACCTGTGAACATGCTGTGAACAACTCAGTGAATTAAAGCATTTTAAGACTTAAAAGTCTTCTTCATTGAAGCTCTAACACTTCTCATCATTTCACAGATCAACAGCGATGTTAAACATGAGGTGCTCATGCGTGAAATGCAAAGGATGTTTTGTTTCTTAATGGTGAGTGGAATTTGATTGAAATAATTTTACTGGGTGCCTGTTAGGAAAATGTGAAGAAGTAAAGTGATAATGGCGACGTGAGGGCCAATTGCTAACCTTTTTGAGCATGACTCCGGATCGAAATGTCGGCTTCTACCCCGGGATGGATCATTGTGTTGTGCTTTCAAGGCAAGCAACACTCGCGGTCTGCGTATATGCGAACGCTGTCATGACTAGTTAGCGTGCTTTCATGCAGTCAAAACAAAGTTGTCTTGCAAAAGTTACAAACAACTGCACAGGCCAATAAGTTAAGGTGTTTAACCCTTTAACTCCCACAAGTGACCCAGACAGAATTTCTCCCTACAATATTAATACAATATCAACCAGATAAGTGAAGAGAATAAAGAAGAATATCAATTTTGGGTTAATTAGTTGATTCAATACTAAATTCTCTGAGCTAACATCATAAGAATTGTATGGTTGATAGTAAGGAGAATTAAAAATTCTATCTGGGAGTTAAAGGGTTAAGAAGTGTCATTTTTGGTAAAGCTCAAAACAGAATGGCAAATCAACAAGAAACCCGCACTTGAATAAGCTTCGTGTTCGAGAAGTCTCCAGTTTTCCTTTTCCCAACTTTTGTTTTCTTTTACAGATTTCTATGAACATTTCAATTATCTCTCGCTTCCTTTGCGAGACAGCAGTTGTTTCTTGTGTTTTCCTTTGAAATTTTGCGCGAGAGGTTGGCGCGCGGGCGGCCAAAATTGATCCCCTTACGCATGCCCGACGTTTGATCTCTGTGTTATGATGGAATGGAGACCTGTGAAGCGTTACTCTGGAAAGATCGAATTATTGCGGAAAGTATACGTTGGAATTTATGGAGAGAGTTTATTTTTTGATAATGTAACGCATATTTTAGAAGACTGTTAAACAAATTCTCCTTGTCAGCCTCTTTGGAAATGTATGGAGAACAGTTTGGAGAATTTGTATACTGATGTTAGGGTGTATAGGGTTAAACTTTGCGTTAAATGCTGTCTAAATATCCAGTTTGCGTCCTTTTCACTACAGGCAAGCGAAAGAAAGGCGTACAATCCCAAAACCTTCTGCCGGACATACACTATGGACAAACAGCCTCTTAACACTGGAGAGCAGAAGGACATGACGGAATTCTTCACAGACCTGATCGGCAAAATAGAAGAAATGTCACCAACACTGGTAAGAAATTTAAAACATTTTGTGGCTCCTACTTATCGATACTTACAGGCAGACTCGCAATCCGGAGGTCATGGATTCGAGTTTGTATATGGGTATTCCTAAGTTCAACTCCTCGACCCCGCTTGTAAATAGCCAAATGCCTTTATATCTGCCATTTTGAGATTTACATCCCGTTACCTTTGGTATATAGTGTTTGTTTTCCTGGTTATTTGAGAGTTTTTGTTGTTGTGGTATTCTTACAGAAATAAAAAAAATTGTCTTTCCGTTTGAGTAGAAGTTACCCGTAAGTGACACAACGTGTTGTACTATGGACGCTTATTATCATTTAGAACATGCCAGTCAAACCGGACGTTTCTGATTACAGTCCGAAGAGAATTTTCACTGACTATTGCAGAAACTATCCTGATAAACTTCTCGCTGTTTAATTGCATACTTGGCCGTCTAATGTATTTATCATAATTGTACTGTTTTTGCAGAAACTCCTAGTGAGAGATTTGTTCTGTGGAGAGATCAGCAACAATGTCGTGTCACTGGTGAGAAAGCTTATTTACCTCAAATCAATTTTCCCGTCAGGCCTGGATAATAGAGTAGTGGTATAAGTGACCTTACCAACCGTGAGCTCCGGTGCTTTATATAATGATTTGAAGGACAGCATGCGCACTAAATCTTGTGCTATAGTTTTCATGTTGAAAGATCGAGGGAGGAGGGGTGGTCCTTGTTTTGCTGTGATTGTGATAACTTTGTGCATAAAAGTTTTTAAAACCCTGATATGAGTATAACACTTGTTCCGAATGGCATTCGTATTCGCCAGGCTAATACGATTGTAGCTATTTTCATGTACTACCCTAGTGTTTGCGGTGGATTTCTGCTGAAAGATTTGGTGTTCTTCCATTCGCAGGACTGTTCACACGTCAGCAAGACCAGAGAGGAATTTTATTCTGTGCGATGCACTGTGGCAGACATGAAGAGCCTTTATGTAAGACTGTCTTTTGATGAATTAGTGATACTGAGATGGTTAAACCATGTGTAGTTTGACTTGAGATATTTATCAATGAGATTTTGAGCTCAGATTTGAATCTGATTTGTAGACAAAGAGGTGCTAGTTTTCTGGCCCAATCACAGAGCGAAGTAAAGCGAAACCTAAACATTTCGAGTGTCGAAAAACTAAGTTGTATCTTGTTGTCTAGGAATCACTGGACGAAGTGACGATCAAAGACACACTGGACGGAGATAACATGTACACTTGCTCACAGTGTGGAAAGAAAGTCAGAGCAGAGAAAAGGTGAGTGAAATACAGGCGGCAAAGGAAATGAATTTTTACCAAGGGTATCCATAACGAAAGCCAAGCGATCTAAAGGAGGAATGAGTGAAAGAAGACACCAATTATTGAATGGTAAAAGTTCAAAACAACTGTTATTTACTGTGAATGATGTGTGGAAGAGAAGCTTGTTGGGTGCTTTTCGATTTAGTGTCGTAAAACCAAACCCAATGTTATCACAACATCCAATCTGAACAAGGGGGAATATCACACGGAGCCAATGAGAAGACATCAAAATCGAGTTAACTACGTAAAGCGCGGAAAAACAGGAGTAACCAAGTCGTAATGGTTTCAGTTTTGCATCTGATTGGTTGAGAGAGTGACGCGAGTTGTCAGGACCAATTGCAGAGCGGAATAGAGCAAAACCAAAGCAGCCTTGATTATTTTCAACAGATTGTTTCGAAAATTACTCTATCGCTTATGTTTCGAAAAGCGAACGGTATTAACGATTTGTTTTGCGTAGGGCATGTTTTCAAGTTCTTCCGCGGATTCTGTGTTTCAACACAATGCGTTATGCGTTCAACATGGTGACTATGATGAAAGAGAAAGTTAATACACACTTCTCTTTTCCTCTTCAACTCAACATGGCACCATACACCGAGGAATTTTTGATGGGAGACAAACAAGATCAAGGTAGAGTGTCCTCTGTTGTCCACGTGACTGTTTTTATGTTTTTGATGGAAAGTCGCTCGAACTCAACAAGCGTATTAGTTTAACTCAACGGTAGGCATTGTGAAATCACCTTAAATATGATTTCCCTCTCCCCTCGTTAGACCCTCAGCTCGATCTAAGCTACTGGTATCAATTGATTGGAGTTGTGGTTCACACTGGCACAGCAGAAGGGGGGCACTACTACAGCTTCATATTAGACCGGTCCTCCCCCCAGGGGCGCGATCAGTGGTTCCTGTTCAACGACGCAGAAGTGAAACCATTCGATCCGGCACAGATCGCGGCTGAGTGCTTTGGCGGCGAAATGACGGTAACATTAGTTATACATATACTTATATTTATATCTTTTTTTTTTCTTTTTTTTTAACGCAATTCAAAAACATTGTGTTGTGTACAGTAAATGAGCAGGATGATGAATCTGTTCTGATCTGTTAGGTTCTGGTAAAGAAAGTGTCGAAGTGTTCTTTTGTAGAAGTATCGCTAAACTGTAGACCCATTGTTTGTAGACATACTGTAAATCTAGTTTGTTGGCGTTGCTATCATCATCACACCTTAAAAAAGTTCATATTTTGATTGAAATGAAATGTAGCCACTCTAAATTTGGAAAACGTTTCCTCATCAGACAAAGACCTATGATGCAGTGACAGAAAAGTTTATGGATTTTTCATTCGAGAAGACTCACAGTGCCTACATGTTGTTCTACGAACGGTGTGATCCTAACGAGAAGGAGTTACTGGCGGAGACGCCAAACATCGAGCTAAGCCAAGAGCTGGCTGATTGGATCTGGCACGACAACATTCAGTTCTTGCACGATAAACACGTATTCGACACGACTTACTTCAATTTCATGTGGCTTATATGCAGCAGCATTGCACCTTCGGTTCCAGACTCCAAGGAGCTCGTGCTGTCCAATGTCAAGCTGGGTAATTATGCTCGTGACTTGTGTCGATATTAAAGTAGGGGGTAGAGAAGTTTAGGGGAGGAGGGTGAGGCGGCGTAGAAATAGGAGGGTGATAAACATTTAACTATTAAGGTCAGTCTTTTTGGCGTCGGCCAAGTACTTGATGATGCTGAATCAAAACTGCTCAGTGTTTGTTACTGAACAGATCAATTTGAACTGATCTACAGCCGCGGAAGATACAGTGTCACATTACGTTTCTCAATAAGTTTTCACTACAAAGTCACCGCCAACCAGTCAAAGTTAATAAAATAGGGACTTTAAGAAAACCACGACGGCGATGGCAACAAGAACGTAGCGAGACAAAAGATCTGATCAGTAGAACAAGAGCGAAACACGGGTGTTTTAAGACCTTTTGCATTTTTTTTTGCATTTCTTAGCTATCCCCTTCAGGGAAAAAAAACGTGAAATCACCAACTTTTTTGTCCTCTTAGCAAGGAAACCTAGACAGTAATTTAGTCACTACGTTCATATGTTATGCCGAAGTGAATATGTCGTACCGTCGAAAAATCTTAAATGAAAATAAAACACGTTTTTCGGCAAAGTTTAACAACACGTCGCCGAAGTGACATCTTAGACTCCCTAATATCCCGAGCGAGGAGGTTAGTTAACTTTTCTTTTGAAACGAAAACTTGTTTAACCAGGAACATCATTCTTGTTGGAAACACTCGTCCACGCCAAAGAAAAACTGTTGATCAAGAACTGGGCCGACCTGTTGCTGTCTCAATATGAACAGTCATCAGATGTCTGTGAGTGGTTTCTGGAGACACTGAGCAGTGAGGAATGGTTGCTTCAGGTGCTGGTCAAGTGTCCCATACAAAGTGTTCGGCATGTAAGTGACATTGAGTTAGTCACATTAAGACTGTATTATTTATCGCCTGGGAATCACGTGGTTTTCTGGAGGAACTGAGGGGGGACTTTCAACGACCGACCCCACCCCACCCTCTTTTCTCCTACCCTCCTTCCCCCCTTCCCCCCGTGGAACATTGGTTGTCACAATAGGGTTGAGGGTTAAAACCTTAGCCACTCAGTTTTTCGACCAGCTTTGTTTCAGAGAACCCATCGTTTGGTTTAAAAAACAAAAACAACAAATCAAAACAAAACAAACAACTTGTTTCGATTATCTTTTTTATCGTTGAGAAGTACTTCCTATACGACTTTCATACCCCTCCTGAATCGAATGCAAGACCTGCGGTCGTTAGTTAAATAATGCTGCAATCTTCTTTTACTCGTTCATATTCGTTGTAGGAGGTAAGTTTTTTTTCGAGATGAATATGAACAATCAATTTACTGGGTAGTAATAACGCCACGACTTTGCGAAGAATCCATCGCCTCAAAGATCTACAAGAAATATCTTTGCTTCAGAATATGCTTAATTGTCCAAAGAGGGAATTCGGTGTAAAAATTACCTAACGGCGAATACTTTTTTTCCTTTTTTTATTAGCAATTTATTATTTTTTTTTACCTTTTACAGATGTTGGCTCGTCTCTGCTTGGATGTGATTAAGATCCTGAGGCCACTATATGCAGGCCACACCGACAAGTTAGTTTCGTTTTGCATATTGCACTTTGCATTATTGCATATTGCTCAATTTTTGCTTCAACACATTCGATCCGCACTGAATAATTGAGCTTTATTGAAGAACTGTAAAGCATGCTTCTCTTTTCTGTAGATCATCTGTCATTTTTGCTTTTTTTTACGGGTCAAAATATGACAATTTTTGTTTGTGTTAGTGTTGCATCCGTATTAACAATTCCTGTTGCTGTTCAGGAATGATGATGACGAGGAATTAGAGATCGAGCACTTTGTGTTTGTCAGCGGGTTTGTGAAAGCTATTTTTAGATTGGTAAGTAATCCGTTATGGGTCGATCAATTCGAAGCTTCAACATCCCCTACGCGGCAACCCCCCGAGCATTTGAAGTTTTGAAGGTAAGTTTGTTTAAATTCCCACCCTCTCCCCCCGGGGCAAAAATTGCGATTAAAATGCTCACCCAAGTATTTTGGAAAAGCCAAAATCAGCGACCTTGACTTTCTTCACATTGACGAAACTTTAAAACTTAGGCCTTAAACACCTCCGTATTGAAAGATATTCCATTGGAAGGACTTGGCACTTACGCTCAAAATTCCCCACCCCATCCGGGCAAGATTCAAATTTCCTGCCCCACGGGCACGGAGGACAGTCAAATGCACGTGGGTTGACCGGAAAAGGGAGAGGATGTTGAAGCTTCGAATTCGGCGGCGTATTAACTTCATTTTCATAACCAAAGGTTGAGGTCAGAATGGATCCATCTAAAATACGATGTTTTTTTCTAATGTACAGCTGGAGCACAATATCAAGGCGTACGTCAAGAATCTTTCAGAGGTGTTTTGGTTTATACATCAGTTCGCCGTACTGGGAGGCAAAGAGGTATGGACTCGTGGACCCTTCGTTTTCCAAACTCATGAGTGATGCACAGTTATAATCAACAATTCCAAAAAGATATCGAGTACATCTTATCATCTTAAAGCATTTATGAATAACTGATGAGCTTTCACCACTTTTTATTACACCATGTCTGTTTATTTGCTCTTAGCAGGCAGTTTTGATGCACTCGACGAGAGTGAACGATGTGTTTTAGTTTACTTTTTAGTTCGGTGTCGAAAGTGTTTCTTGAGCTTTCCTTATCTTTTTGAAATGATTAAGTAGTGATACCGTAGTGAGGGAGAGTTGTGCCACCCTTGGAGTTAATCAGATCCGAATCGTTAACATCACAACCGATTTTCCCCCAATATTAATTTTCAGAGTTGTCGAAGACTGTCGGTGTAGTAAGATGTTTTAACTGCGGTTTGTCGCGACAATCAATTGAAAAGGAAAAAAAAACTTAAAAAAATATGTAGATAGACCATCTGTTTTATGGTGGTGGTATTCTTTTTTGCAGCGTGAATTTCTTCTGAAAGCAGACGCCATTACAGTCATGGTGGAATTCTACCTGGGAACAAAAGCTTCAGAATTAGTAAGTTAACGACTCAATATGGATTATTTGGCCTGTCAATCGTGCGCCGGATAGATTTTAAAACGGTGTTTTTGATCTGAAATGTAACAAAAGGTTTTCGTCCGTGCCAGAAAACGAACGAAATGTTTTAACATCCACTCTACACCGGACGAATTTAAAAACGCAACTATCACCGGCGGGATTCTTTGGCGTGCACATTTGAAAAAAAAAATGCCAAGAATAGTGACGACCTGAGAGCGTTTTGGAAAGCCCGTTTTTGGTTCACATAAGTGTAGTTGTTTAGTTTAACCGTGGAAAGAAAGTTGTGCTCAGTTTCAAATTTGCCTATTTACCTCTCCCCCCCCCTCCCTTGCTTTTACCTTCAGTTTGGCGAAGATTTGGGGGGAAGGGGGGTGGAGGAGAAACTGGGCTGACATCGTGGTACCCAAATTCGCTTGTGAATGTGATCTTGCCCAAATGGAATCATTCATTTCTCTCAGAACGACTCCACTACAGATGAAGATGATGACGGTGATGATGACGACGATGAAGAAGTGGTCACCATTCTCCCAGAAGATAAATACCGAATGGGTTCTCTTGAGAAGATGATTTCAGTTATGGCGCTATTGGTCGAGGAGTCTCGAGGGGAAAGGTAGGCTTGATTTCAACCAAGTTGTTTAACGCTTTAAAATATATACTCATACAAGAGATGGACAAGTTTTGATGTTCAGTTTCTTTGCACCTTGATCCATGAGTTTGTTCCCCCCCCCCCTCATCCCACCACACACAACAAATGAGACGTAGTTCCCTCATCAGTAGCGAAATTAGATTTATTTAGAGTAAACATTTGCCAGTGAAACGACATTAAACTTCTCTGAGAATAACATGGAGAGAGCTATCCCATAATACTCTTAGACGAACTACAATGCAAAGCTATTTGTAACGCTAAATGCGTGACACATGTGACATAACACAAGAGAATGAATCATTGGTGGTGGTCTTTTTTTCAAGGTTATCCTTGTCAAGGAAGTTTTTAAAGTAATTTTCGTTGAGGTGTTGCTCTACCTCGCTGTGTCATTGCTCCAGAAAACTTACGCCACTCTCTCAACCAATCAGATTCCAAAGTAAAAACCGTGGTTACTTGATCAGCTGCGTTCTCCTGTGCTTCAAGCAGTTTATCTATTTCTTCATCATGATTGGATAATATGCGTAACATTTTATCCAATCGCTCTATTCACCCCGCGGCAGTTATCTTTTCTCACGAAACGAAGTTGAACCTTAAAGCTTTCGTGCGATAATGTTATGTTTTCTTGCTTTTTATCAGGCAACTGCATCTTTCAGAGAATGACATGGCTGCTTTAACAGGTGGAAAGGTATGGCAATATTCTATGTTAATTTCTAGTAACACTGTTTTTCAGAGAGACCAATTGAGAGGGGTATGTTCGTCTACGAACTCTTAGCTCTATGCTTTGTTTAGCATATCGTAACAGACTCATAATTGTCAACGGATGATTACTTATGTTATTTTATTTCTTTTTCCGCAGGGATTTCCATTCCTTTTCCATGCCATCAAAGACAGTATCAACCTCCGCCACACAACCAACCTGATTTTTAGTCTGTGCAGATACAACCTCAAGCTAGCGGAAAGTGTGAGTCAGCGATTTGCACGTGTCTTACCAACCTTCGCGTTGCCCTGTGATTGGTTTAGAAGCCCTGCACCTCCTCCTTAACCGATCAGATGCAAACGCAATGTCAATCATAACTTGGCCACGTTCGTTTTCCCGCGCTTCAGGCAGTTTTCAAGAAGCATAATTGCTCTTTATATTTTTGACACTCGTTAATGAAAGCCTTTGAAATCTCACATATTCACAAACAGATTTTTCACTTCGTTTTGTTGTTTTGCAGATAATTTCTCTGCTGATGTCTTCAGTGCAAAAGCTTCCACCAGAGGTTGGTAAAACGTTGCAAACTGAGCTGGTAATAAAACTTAGAATAATTCATTTGGTAATTGCTTTTTTTTAAACATTCTTTTGTCCTTCCCCCCCTTGCAGCAGTCTCATTCATTCTTCAAGTTACTGTCAATGTTGACAGAGATGCAGGGGGGTCCACCTGGCATGCCATCTTTTACTAACCTGACCCTTGCACGTATCTGGGAGGTAAGCTACTTGTTGCAGTTTTCGTTGTTGTTGTTTGTGTTTGTTATTTATTGATAACGTAGGGTTCAACTTTTGCCCACACTCAATAGCCTAGAATAAACAGAGTATATCTTAAAGCTCAAATGTTGGCAACCTTTTTCGTATAAATGTAAAAAAAAAACCAAACAATTTGAAGTGTGGATTGGGTTTTTCAGTGATATGTTTTTCGAATTGACTGAAGAACGAAGACTTCCTTGTCTTCGAAACAGTTTCTGGAGTAACGCTGAAAAAATATCGCTTTTGTATTGACAAGAGGATAATTGCGTCTGTTTGACTTTCCGCAGGCTGCCGAATACAACGCTGCTCTGTGTATAGACTGGCTAACGTGCATGGCTCCGAAAAACAGGATGGTATGTGTTTGTTTGGTTGTTTTTTTTCTCTTTTTTTATGCTCGAACTTTCCGATTAACCCTTTAACTCCCATGAGTGACCAGGAGAGAATTTCTCCTTACAAGGTCAATGCAATATCAAGCAGACAGGTTATGAAAATAGAGAAAAATTCACATGGAGATTACTAGTTGATTCAAAACCTAATTCTCCGAACTGACATCATAAGAATTGTTTGAGGGTACTAATGATATCTTGGCAGTGAAAGTGTTAACGTACTGATTGTGAATACCGTCAACTTATCCTTGCCGTTTGTTGGTAGGCTCATCAGTGGGTATTGGAAAACATGGATAAGTGGGTGGAAAAGTATCTTATTGCTGACAACAGTCTCAGGCTTAGAAATGGTGAGTTAAATCATTTAACATAGATTTCATTTTATATAACGTGATAAAAATTCGTGCCAAGACCGCTGTACTTGGAAGTTTTTGTTTGCTGCCATAATCATCAACCAATGACCGTTTTAATTTTCGTAGATATTGTGGGTTCCTGACCTGCAAAATTAAGTTCGTGTAGGAAAGAGAAACGCTCGATAAAAAGCTGGAAAAATTTACCGCTTTCGGAGTAGAAGGATAAGTTTGCTGTAACTAAGCGTGCGAGAGAATTTAAGAATATTCTTTTGCCTTCCTTGTTAATGTTCTGCTGTTCTGACGGAGAATAAAAACATCTGTTCCCTCAAAACTCAATGCTTCGCCAATCCGGGTTTCAATAAAAGCTGGCTATTGGCAGTCTACCGCTGCCCTTGAGACCTCTTACCGCCGTCCGTTTAGCCTGCGGGCAGGCTCTCGCGTTTGGGTTTTCGCCTTAACCCTTAACATCCTAACGTCATTGTACATATTCTCCATGCTGTTCTCTAAACGTTTCCTAAGTTTCTGACATGGAGAACTTGTCAAGAGCTGCTTTAGTTGGTGATCATTTCCTATATTCTCGTCACCTGAATGTTTGATTCAGGCTTGATATTGTAGGGAGAGATCAGATGCCTGTCACTCTTAGGGGTCAGAGAGTTAAGGCCTATTTCCAGGCACAGCCGTTAATCACACCAACAACAGCTGCTTATGGAAAACGTTGTTGAAACCTTAGCTAAATGGGAGTGTATAGCATGAAATAGTATAGTTTAATAATCAGCAACTTCGTAGCTGTGCACCGTGAGTTAGGTGAAGTTTTACCCTGTCAGGTTTTGTAAGTCGTTTTCCTCTTCCATCCAGCAGTATTTCTCAGAGTGTCTGTTCTTTCTTTGTCATCTGTAGCTTCTGCATATCTTCTGGTAAGCCTTGTGCCTAACAGTCACTTCAGACAAGGGTTCAGGTAGGGACAGCTCTGTGTTACATTGAAACCGTCCCATCGAGACTGTCAGGGTAGTCTTAATCGTGACATTTCGGTTAAACGGACCCCATATTAATCGGGCTCTGCAAGGGAACACCGGACAAAATCACAATCGTGTCTCTCCGTAATCATTGCTTGCGAGTGGGTTTGTTATTGGCGTTGCGACACGATGGGAAAAGCCCGTGCAATGGAAGCGCGCCAGGGGTCTGGGAGGGTTCCGCACAAACCCCTCATAGACCTATCGCGGGCTTCGCTGATTATGCTACAGCGCTACTGAGAGTATTCACTATAGAACGAACCAACGGCTATTTGGTGGTCATCTCTCTGAAACGGACGCGGATCGAGCTTTTGTACGACCAAGTACTTGTATTATGGGGAAACTTCAAGTGGCTTTTATTACAAACTTTTAACTTTTTTCGTTAGATTTGTTAAGTAAAACAATAGAAAACACTTTTGTGTCAGAAATTTTCGCAACTTTTGCAGTGGGTTGACTTAAGAATTCAAAACACAGGTTATCAAAATCAGAGTTCATTTTTATTGTCTACCATTGCTTTAAATCGCTTATAAAGAGAAGAGATCCCTGATACTGCTATAGTTTTTGTGGTAAGAAATCGTGATGGTTCATTTCCTTTGTTTCTTTTCTCAGGTCAAGAAGCTTTTCTGCACCGCACAAGGAAATGGTGGTAACTATAATTCACAATGTTTAAATGTCAGTCGTAAAGAATAGTAGATCTTGACCTTTAAAAAAATAGACGGAAAGAACTCGCCCCGCTCTTAAGCAACCAAACAAACAGAAAGAAATGCGTTAAACGAATTTTTTTCCCTCGGCTATTTCCAGTTCTTATATGCAATTTCATCAGATATGGTGAAGTATTTTAGAAGTTCAGTTAATCCTCTCACTTTAAGACTCAAATCCAATTTTCCTCCAGATATCTATTTGGTTCCAGGCGCATTCAGATTTGGTTCTTTGCATTATTTGGTCATTTTCTAACAGGAATATCCTTTTTTTCTATTTTTTTTTTTCAGTTGAGTAAGGATGCTCTCTCCATACTTCATGAGGTATGACATTTTATTTTATCATTATTACTCCTATGTTGTACTTCGTCTTTGCCTTTCATTTTTGTAATCGTCCGCCTTTACCTCTAACTTTAAACAGATTTACAAAATGTTGCTTAACCTTCTTCCAAGAGCCAGGAAATACTGTGGTATGTAGAACGCCAAATTTTTAGTAGATTTAAAGTTTCTGTTGCTTTTGTTACTATTTTTGTTTTAAGCAAAGAAAAATAATCCAGTAACGTTTTTAGTAATTGTAGTCAATAGATAACTTTTTTTTTTAAGTAGATCGAAACATCCATGGCACCACAAAACTTGTCAGCTATTTTGCCGTGTTGAACTACTGCCTTGTATCAAAAACGGAGAAGGAAATGGTATGAAAAATGTTTCCTTGTTAATACGCCTTTTGGGTTGTGTTATATGGTAGCATGCGTCCGAAACGGAGACGCCTTTTGGCAAACTTCCCTAATGAAACTATCCTTATCCTCCGTAGTTCACGCCATTCTGTACAGAGTTGTGGCGGCTGTTTCACCCATTGATGTCAGAACCAAATATCGCAGTACATCCTAACAAACAGGTGATTTATGAATAAAGAAAGATGGTATATCTCGACCCCGGTCGTCGAAAATTGAAAGACGTTATTTGTTAGTCACGAGCTTGGAATAAAGAGAAATCTGATTTCTCGGCAAGAAGTCGAACCCCAGACCTTCAGCTTCACGGTCCGATGCTCTACTACTGAGATAGTGAGACAACTTGTTGCTGAGTTGGGCCATATATGGGACATATTTCACCTTTGTGATTACTTGTTAGAAAGGTGGCAGAATTAATAACAGGTTTTTAAAGTTCCAAAAAAATCGCACTGTTTTTTGATTGCTAATTTTGTTTGTTTGTTCGTTCGTTCGTTCCTTTCTTTTTTGATTTGCGGAATCTACAGTGCTTTGTTCTAGTTTCTTGTCGGGAGGGTTCCGTTTACGTAGCATTTGCATTCGTCCAACAGAAACTTAGTTTAGCTTTGAAATTTTTGATAAATGAATGAATGAATGAATAGATAATAAGTCGAAATACCTGAATGCCTAAGTGCTTGAAACTTTATCTGCTTGAGCCTTACTTCTAATGAGATGGCTATCGAACATTTAAAAGTACAAAAAGGGTGTAAGTTTCTCATGCACTAAATGGTTTGTTAATTCTCAGGCCTTGTTGATCTTCTGGTTTCACGCTTGTATTAGTTGTGAGAAAAATATCGACTTTATTACGGAAAACAGCAGCGTGGCTGCCAACATACCGCTCAACTACATTCTGTAAGTGACTCTCTTAATTTAGACTTTTGATTTCCTTTTGGTCATATGAGTAACCTTTGTAGGGTCATTTTCACTTGAGTTTCGAGGGTAATCCGGCATAGCTGTGGATTTGGTTTACTTCGCTTTGGGATTGGTCTGATCTTTTGATGCAAAACTTAAACCAATCCTGGCTTTGTTTACTCTTATTTTCCTGCGCTTTAGTCAGTTTGCCTGTTTATTCTTCGAAGGTAATTTAGTATCTCGTCCCGTCAGAGCGAAATACGTTTCGACGATTCGCTCTGACAAAGGGCTAACGCTCGAAACGCCAGCTTTGAAACTCTTAACGGTGGCCAATTTACGTTAACATCTCAGTTGATAATACTAAATTACCCCGTTATACTCTCCAACACCACAGTATCTTTAGAAACTTACCCCCTTTATTCATTTGTTTATTCTTTTGAGTTCGTCCTGGCTTCTTATATCGTTAACCTCTTCACTAAATGTGATAGCTTTGGTTTTCAAGACAATCCGTGTATGTTCGCTCTGGTTGTTGGCTGCCACCATTAACTCGTGTGATGATCTTTGTACGTTTTCAGTTCCAGTGATGAACCGGAAGTTGTAAACTTTAACAGAAATGTACTTCCGGCATATTATGGGCTACTTCGGTTGTGTTGTGAGCATTCCCGCTCTTTCACTCACCAGCTGGCTGTGCATTCCAACATGAAGTGGGCTTTTGAAAATCTCACCATACGCATGAACCAGTATCCACAGGTATGTACCAGGCTAAGCCGCGCGTTTCTCCTCCGCATGTTTTCCCTCCGCATGTTTTCCCTGACTTGCCCGTTTTTTTGCACAGTAAGGCATTGTAGGAATTATTTCCCACCATACATTAGCAGTACTTAGAATTAGTAGTCCCCCCTTTTGGTTTGCTGGTAAAGCAGGAAATGAAGAGTGTGCTGCAAATTTGTGTTTTCTGAGCGTGATGAGACAGTGTGAATTGCTTGACAAGTGTTTTCGTTTGCCCGTGTCATAGGCAGTCGAGGAGCTTTTTGCCCTCATGAGGCTTTTTGCTGGCGTTACTTCCCCTGATCCGCCCCAAGAGAAAAGCAAAGAAGAAGAAGCCTTTGAAGCATCGTTCAGACGAGACACCATTATCCTGTACCAGAACTGTCTGGACGGAGGAGCGTCGTGGACGACACTTATCAGGTACAGGGGTCTGTGTAGGAGGGACTTGGGCGAGTAATGTGATAGCGAGGCTTGAGTGTGTGAGATAAAGGCACGAAGGTGAGATGCATGGAAGTGAGGCTTTACCATACTGCCTCTATTTCATGTCATAGTCACACTCGTGTCGTTATCAAGCCTAGATTCAAAAAAGTGGAGTGTAGACAACTGTAATAGATCGTTATTAAAGAATCTTTTTCTTTTTTTCATTGTAGTGCGTACAAGATCTTGCTTCAAACGGATGAGGACAGACTGACCGTGGTTGTCAACCAAGGACTTCTCACGCTGTCTGATGTAAGGCTGAATTTAGAATCGATCGTGTAGCTGCGTGATTGTTTCCAGTCAAATCTGTGACAGGAACAACAACAGACAATAACTTATTAATAAAGTTCCTTTCTCTCTCAAATTACTCAACAGGCATTTACAACCCTTCACATGATGTACCATGAGGCTACAGCTTGTCACGTGACAGGAGACCTGACGGAAGTGTTAATGATTTTACACAACTTATTAGTGTGCTGTCGGCCGCATAGCAATAAACAAGGTATTAAATACTCACTTTTGTCTTCTAGCCGATGCATCGTTAATTAGACTGTACATGATATCTTTTCGATAGACGCATTCTTCAGTTAAGTACCGAGTCCCTTGTTGTTTGAATTTAAGGGAAATCTTATTACCAATTAATCATAAAAATTACAAACCCAAAGGAAAAATTTCCTAATTGTTTGATTTAAACTACAACTTTGAATTTGATCGGCTTATTGAAATGTCCGATGACAACCTGTCCGATAACAACTAGGTAAGTGAATTAGTGGAAAATAGGAGTTTTTTAAATCAATCACAATCGAGGAAATTGTAATTTTTAGGGTTATATTGGGTATCGGGACAGTTATGGTGAAAATATACGAATGCTTCGGTGGGGGGGGGGGGGGGGTTGTCATGGGATTGCTTCAGAGGCAATACTCTCAGTCGTTTCAAGTTAGGGCAACGAGGATAAGCTCCGCTATGAACTGGGTCACTTGACTTGCAAGACTGAACTATGTTTAAATGTAGAATTTGAGAAACTAGACGTTACCTGTATCTTCTCGTAGAGTAGGTACTTCTTGTCTTCGTGTTTTTAGCGTTGTTTTGTGTGTCTTTCAGACGTTCGCAGTAGTATTTTAGGATGGTCAGAGAGATTTGATGTCGCCCAAAAACTTCTCTCGCTGTTAAATACCTACACACCAAAAGAAGTCAGGCAATCCTGTCTGGGTAAGTCGTAAAGTCATATCGATCGATGGATACTTTCCCAACAGCACTCACCGACTCTCCTTCGAAAAAAAGTCTTTTTGCATGTTGTGTTTAATTGGTATCAGCAAAATGCAATCGGATGAAAGACTTTCCCCTCCTTATCCATGATCAACAGCACTCATAGTACACTTACACACACTTACACTCACTTACACTTTATTGGGTCTCCCTTAACAGGGCTTTTCAGACACAACTAACTAACTTTACAGTATTTACAATCGTAATAAAAAACCAAAAGCCAATGATGTCTATTCATTAAATTGTGGTTAAATATTCTTTCCTTAACCCTTTAATCCCTAAGAGTGACTAGCATCTAATTTCTCCTTTCAGTATCATCCCTGAATCAAACATTAAGTTCACGAGAATAAAGGAAATGATAAACAACTGAAGAACCTTTTGATTGTTAAACAAATTCTCCTTGCTGGCACATTTAGGAAATGTATAGAGAACAGTATGGAGAATATGTATATTGATGTTAGGGTGTTAAGGTTTGAAGTTTTTGATTTCCCTAATCTTCTGAAGATCCTTCGAAAGGCTATTCGTTTGGCACCGCGATAATAAAAGCTCCGTTGCCCTGTTGACAACCGGCTGCGTGGGTTCAAGTGTTGATCATATCATAGTTGATATGTGAACACAAGTTCAGTGGGCGACGTTATTGTGGAAAGGGCCACTATGACCCAATTACTGTGATAAAAATGGCCACTCTGGACAAAGGAACATATCACGAGCCAGTTAGAGCTTCAATTAAAAACCAGGAATTTCGCTGAAGCGCGAGTGGCTAAGTTGTTTTCGTTTCGTATAAGGTTGGTTGAGAAAGCGCCGCCGTCTAGTTTTCTGAGGCAGTCGCGGAGCGTAGAAAAGTAAAATCAGGGCATTCCCGGATTTTCTAAGTCTCGTTTGAAATTTGCACCGCGTACGTATTTAGAAGGGGTTAAAATTTGGTTAGCAATGCAATAGAGCCCTCAAGTTTGTTCCTCGTTTTCCACCTCAATGAGTGCCCCACTATATAACATCCCGTATTTGACAAAGTGATCCATTGTGATCCACAGATGTGTTAAACGCCATGTTGGTTCTGTACCCCGGTGACATCACAGAAGCACTGATTCCCATCATAAGTGCCTCTCATCAGCACTGGAACAAAACTTCTCCCCCAGGTTAGTTTTAACTTGCGTAGCAGTCGTTGTCGTTCCCCTTCAGAAAAGCACGAGAAGTGGGCTAACTTAAGTCTCCTTTCAGTCCCATGTCTTCCCTCAGCTTTTGTTTTGATCACACTTCTCCTGCTTCGCTGGAACGAAAAAGACTATCACATGCGTTTGGTAATTGTTTTCTAGAAGTGTGATATAAATCCCCAGAATAGAGTTGGTAAGACGAGGGCATATGGAGGTACTAATTAAAACTGACGTTTGAACACTTGATCTTGAAATCATTTTCGTAACAGCCATAAAGAACGTTTTTTACGAGTCCACGATTTATTCTAATTCACTGTTTCTTTCTTAAGAAACGCAGAGTAATATGTTTCTTTTGTAGTCCTTAGTATATGTTTTGTTTCTTGTAATTTTGTTTGTTTGTTTATTTTGCGTCCCAACTGGAAGAAAACCAATTCAGCTTAGAAAACTGTATTTACGATTTTTCACGTCCTGACATTGACTAGAAGTCGTTTGGAGCTTTTGCAATATGTCATTTGGAAAGCGACAAGGAAACTAGGACTTCGAACCCCAAGTTCTCTCAGATTTTTTTTCTCGAGACTTAATTTCGCAAATATACATACAGAGACGTAATTGGCAGTTGATAAGGTGTGTGTAGTTACTTGAACCTTCATCACGACAAGTGCACATGTTAAGCGGTTATTTCTCTTCTACTTTTGGCCTTTAAAAAGAAATAAACTGTACTAACCACATGTGGTGCAATCACCAGGTCTCCTTGGTCCGTACTTTCCTCGTCGACACTCAAAGATGATTGTCAGCAGCAAGTCTGTGGCGAGGCCCGCTGTGCCTGAGCTTAACATGTTCCTTCATCCGTCATTCCTGGACTCGCCAAAGGTAATTACCGCCTTCCGATACTCTTTGACTCACCATTCTAACTTGGGGTAATCGCATGGAGTTACCACCGAGGTGAATCACAGGAATACGATAGAGTCAATCCCAGCATTCATTCTGATCTTAGTATTAGCAAAGTCGCTGACCTGTTGTGTACTTGATGTTCTCAGGGAGTGGAGGAGTTGTATGACACAGCAGTTGCAGAGTACTTCCAACCGTATCACCACTTCGTGGATAAACTGTTGCGCTATGGATTCGGTCATGACAGGGTCCCTGAACATGTCATCACGTGCAGTAAGTGTTTGACGGTCATAGACTCCTTCAAGATATTAGTATAGGTAATCACATGATTTCGAATGCGATATGGAATAAATAAGCACGAGTAAATTAATTTTTTCAAAGACTAACAAAATTAGACGAGCCCGTAGGGTGAGTGCAGTTTGTGGTCTTTGAAAAAATTTACAAGCGCATTTTTTTTGCACATTGCACGAGAAAGATCATGTGATAACATATTAATAATATACATGAAAAAATAGGAGATAGCTTATCATAGTTATGCAGAAGCAAAGCGCGCGTATCAAGTGCAAAAATAATTTATTCACCGTGCGTTCGGTCAAAACAACCGTATGCGATCAAAACAATAGTATACTATGACATTTCCACATCTTTAAGGCGCAGGAAAGTTCAAAGCGTGGCTAAACAGTTCAAGTAATTGTTCAGTCTGGTTTGTTAGTTCTTTGCACTGAATCAACACTCTTCTGCAATGAATTACCTGAAAACTACATTTATCTTAACCAGTCAGAGCTGAGTAGTTTTTTCATGTATCTTATTAGATCAAAAACAGCGTCACAGAGAATACTTTACTTCCCTTTCCACCTGTTGTTTGGTCTTGTTGCGTGACTCGTTTTCATGTTACGCAAGACGTTTCCTCCTGATGCATCACGCGACACGGCCAAAAAAAGGCTACGAGGGAGATTGCGAATAATATTCTTTAAACCTTTGTATGGCTGTTTATTTGTATAGAAAAACTCCGATGTGGTGTTAATATGCCATAAGGGAACGAGAATGGTTCCTTAATGATGGCAAAGATTAACATGGCCTGCAAAAATTTCAATATGTCTGGAAAAAGCGCAAAGAAGAAGCTTTCTCTGAAGCAAAAAAGAAATAAATAAACAGCAACAACAACAACTCAGACAGATACTTGAACAGATCTGAGCCATTTTTATAGCCTCTTGTGTCGAGTCGTTTCTTTGGGATTACAGTGCGATTATCTTTATCTTTACCATTCTTTCAAATCCCCTTTGTTCAGTAGTCCAGCACTATACAGCCTTTAGCACAAAACCAATTTTGGCGCCTCGGTCAATCATTCTTCGGTTACAACAATTTTGTTTCTTCTCAAGCATAAGGTTTTAGATGAATCAGATCATTATGTGTACATGTGGTTACTATTCTTCGTGATGTAGTGGGTAAATGAGCTCACTGTCGAATTCACGCTTATACTCTTGTTATAGGTTGTCTCTTGGCGATAGAGGCCATCCCTCTTCACTTCACGTTCTTCAGCAGTCTGTGGATGGAAGTGTATCAGAAGGCTGGCGAGGTATGTGTCGTGTTGCTTACATTGGCATTAATTTGTTTCACTGTCCATATTTACGCATTCCGCACAGGGTAGCCACACATTTCATTTACGGTTGTTTCTTTAATTATTCGGCTCAAGGTCACCAACACATTCAATTTGTGGCTGTTTTTTTGCAGATTGGTAGATACAAAACCTACATACAGCAGCTATGTCAGAAACCCGAGTTCCTCGAGGTAACTTCTGATGCGGCTTATTTTTTTTCTACATTCGTGCGTAGTTTTTACTACCATCACAGAATAATGGAGAGGCATCGATAAATAGTAACACCTCTGGTTGGGTTTAGTTATTCATTCCTTCTCTCACTCACTCATATGTTAACCCTTTACGCCTCAGCATCAGTATGGATATTCTCCATACTATTCTTTCTACATTTCCTAAGGTGCTGACAAGGAGAATTTGTTTAACACTCAACAGCTTCATTTAGTTGGTGATGATTTCCTTGATTCTCTTGACGTTAATGTGTGATTCAAGGATGATATTGTAAGGAGAAATTAGATGTTAGTCACCCTCAGGGGTCAAAGGGTTAATAGATTCCTTTTTGCATCTTACCGTGTCTTTGACTTTATTTATTTGCTGCACCTAACCAATGTTTAGTTCATCGATAAATAAATCGCTATTTAGTTATCAGTCCGTCAAAGGAAAGGCACATTAATCAAGCGTTGTCTTGATCAGGAAGCCACATTTTATACATCAATTGGTCAGCACAAGTTAGGCTGACAAGAAAAGTGAGACGAGAAAACAACGCAAAATAGCCCTGTGTAACTATTAAGCTTGGTTAGTTTACCATTTTTTAACGTTTGTTTAGTACGTGGACCTTATCTTACTGGATGAACGAGAAAGTCTCAATGTGCGAGACATCTATTCCTTCCTGTGCTGCTTTTTTCCGCGGGTAAGCATAAGATGTTTGTTTTTTTGTGTGTGTGTTCTTGTTTGTTTGTTGCTTGTTTGCATTATCTTTGTTTGTTTTGCGTTTTGCTGAAAGTTAGTCGCCAAATTTAGAACGTTTCATCATTTACCAAGAGATATAGTGAATTAAAAGTTTGCCTCATTAAGTTTCTCTCTCGATCGATAACTAGACGCCATCTTGGATTTAGATTAGCCTGAACGTTGTATATCATCCATCCTAGGGTCCACTTTGTTGCACGTTAATTTTGGAGGGTCTATCTAGAACGCTGACAGCGTAAAGAAAGATTTTGTTTGTCTTTGAAAATGGCGACCAATTTTTTTTGAATTGGCTACCACTTTGAAGAATTTAGGAGCCAAGTGGCTATCAGAAAAAAAGTTAATTTCACGCCCTGTATATTCTAGTAAGTCTTCTTTATTCCGGCTACCAGGCCGCAAACGAGCTAAAAACGTTCTTTCGCCTATGAAGTAAAGTATGTTAGACGCAATATTTTGAGTTAACAAACTTACGGTTGGTGGTCACTCAAAATAACTACAGCCTAAGTAGTTGTTGTTACTGCATTCTCTCTTTAAGAGAACTGGTGTTAAATGTATGTAATATTTACAATTTTGTATTCTCCCAGGTGTCAAGCCAGGTGTTGGTAAAGCAGTGGAATAACTTGGTGCAGACACTGGTGGCGACAGTAATCGCCGATAAACCCGCAGCGGAGAAGGCAAATGACACTGAACTCTGTGCAATAGCTAAGAGGCTAACTGCGGTAAGAACTTATTAAGTCAAATTCTTTTGTCGAAATTTTTTTCTTGTTATTTATAAAAAGAAACAAAGCGTAGTAAGACTTGCAAAGGGAAATGTTCCGAGCAGTTCGTGCAACTAGGGAATAGAATGCCTAACTACAGCGCAACAGATTAACCTAACTTTTATGATAACGTCCAACTTCTGGTCCATAATTGGTAACCTGTTGGCAGAATAAGTATAGTGATACGTTCTCCTTACAATTTTGGAAAATTATCCTGCAAAAAATTTGATGGGAACAGAGAAACGTATGAACTTGAAGGTTTCTCCTTCAGATAAGACCAAGGAAAGAAACAGAGATAGTGGATAAGAGAATTGTGATATGGTTCACTCTGAGACTGACGTGTGCAGGCAATGGGCCAATTAATTCCCATTGTAGGCTGGTTTCCCCTATTATTTAGATAGAAAATCATGAAATTAGGTAAAACTTTGTTTTCTTTAAAATTAGTTAACTTAAAAAATGTTATTCTACCGAATTCCTCCGCAGGAACTGCGGGCCATGTCTCTACTTTTCTCAGTTCGCCCGCCACACAAGTCGGACGTAAGCCCCTTGTTGCAACCAAGTCTCAACGAATTGCTGGTGGTCTGCCGCAAGTATCAAGCCAAAAAATTAGAGGCCAAATTGCGGTCACCGGCGGTAGAGTCGGAACAACCTCCCTCACAGCAGCAGGGTAAAGAAGAGTCATCCGCTGCCAAAACTGAAGGAGATGATGGACCCGTGAATAAGCGAAGGCGGACCCAAGAGGAAGAGGACGAGGCTTCAGCTAAAACGACCTCGGGTCCGTCAGATAAACCAGGGACGAGCAAAGACGATAGCACGTCTGCATCAAAGAAGGAGAAAACTCAAGAAAATTCTCAGAAAAAGGCTGCATCAATATGGGGTGCAAGGCCACCCACGGATTGGGTGGACTCGCTGGTCAAGGCTATACAGAACACTATATCTAAAGTTCCAACGTAGATCATGTTTTAGGGAAACAGGACGTGATAGTCGAGTTTTATTCCACTCAACTGTGCATCTTCTGTGATTCGAGGAAGAAGTTTGAACCAACTTTTATTACGCACAGGGAATGATAACACCGGAGAGGTGCGTGCGAGAGAATTTGTTTCTCACGTAGTGTAAGTTTGAAACATTTGAAAATAAGAGGACACAATTCCGCTTTCGTTTATTTGAACTTAGATGAAAGGATTTTGAATTGAAGTCCACAGTAGTTACAATTGATCAAAGAATTTTGCAAGTATTCGAAAAATCAACTTGCATGAAGAGCTTGAAAACTGTTGTCGACCATAAATGGAGAAGATTAAGGTTAGGTAGGTACTCCCTACTTTAAAATTCAGGTTTAATATTTGAAAATAAACCATGGGTGACTAATCCCTCTTCAGCTTTTCACTGATGTGTCGACAGATAACAAATATCTGATCTTTTGATCATAAATTTAGGTGAATAAAAAATTACATTGAATTTGTACAAAAACAATTTTAAGTGCATATTGTGTTCTTGTCTTGCTATGTTTTATGGTCGTTGCTATCTTTTCTTTTATTATTTATTTATTTAATTTTTTGTTCAAAATTTTCGTCAATAATGCTTTTCATTAGCAAAAGCTACGTGAGCTAAGAAACCACAAGGTTGTTAACTCTAATTTCCCCTTCAATAAAAGCTTCACTCTTCACTCTTTACTCTTAACAAAGACGAAATTACTGTTGTGACTTTTTCCTCTTTTTTCTCTCCTTTCTGCAGCGGCAATATCCATAATCATTTCCCGTTTTGTGGTTTTTGGGAGCCGGTTCGAGTTTTTTAAAACATCACTTTTGAAATCGCTCTTCACACTAAAAAATTTCCTTTTTTATCGTCAATTTCAGAATTATAGGAATAGTTCTTACACTTTTTCAAACTTCTTCTTTTTAAGCTTTAATTGAAGGTAAACCCTTCCTCCTCAAAAACCCGTTCTTAGGTTCTTACCAATTGCTTCCGGAAATCGGGAAAGCGAGTTCTCTTAACGCTGCTGCGCTAGTTTCGGCTTCTACTTCCTTTATTTTAGACTTTCAAGGCGCGATTGCATTCAAACTTTCCCGCTTCAGTGCCCATGAGTAACTAACGATGTCCAGGCATTCTGCGCAATTTGAAGCATCTGCGGAAATGCCTTTGAAATATAGAATGTAGCATAGCATTCGTCTCTCCCAAGGTCCACGCTCACTTTGGCATCCATAGTTATAAAATGTGCCAATTACTTTCACCCCGTTGTAGCTTTACCAAAGCCGAAAATAGTAACGAGTTGCATTTTACACTGCATTTTATTCAGGAAGCAAACTTGTTGACAGGTTCTCCCTAAAGTCTGCGGGTAAACATAATTTCTGCTATAATCGTAGGCCAAAGTGTCATGTATGCTCCCTCTGCAAGCTGCAGTAGCAGCAAAATGCAAAGCAAGCAGGCTAATACTGTAAGCCGAAAATTTACTGTAGACAGCTGGTAGGAGGTTCTGGGGTAGATGGCCGGTGTCATTGAGGGCCGCTTCTCTTAGAACATGGCCTTGAGAATGATACGAGTAACATCAGCGATGGTATGTAGTGGTAATTGAACTGACTGGGGTACGTTATGGTCTGAAATCAAACGCGCGATTTCAAAATCGAACGAGTCTGATTTGAATTCTCTCGTATGATTCTCAATATAATTTCAAACTTTAAATAACCTCTCTCGTAACTGAAATTGAAAGAATAGTAGAGTAATGATTCCCCTATTGGATGGCCTAACATATAATACGAGTGGGTATTTTTAGCCACTGCTCGTATTTCTCCTTCCCACATGACCCAAAAAAATACAACGCAACTCTTTAAACATTCGCGAATAATCATTTTTCCTTCGCACTCCTGCAACCGAAGAGCATAATAAAGTACTAAAAAACTACCAACTTAAATTTTAGAACTAACCTACACCAAAGTAAAAGAAATATCACCAAGAAAGGAAAAAGTACGGACTAGATAACTGATAGGTTTTCAATTTTTGAGTCGGTGACTCTCTATCCTCAGACCCCCCCTCTCAACAAGGGGAAATCTCAGGGTCTCAGGGACTGCTCTCCCCCCCCCCCCCCTTCTTCCTTGAGTCTTGTTCATAATAAAATTTTATTACCAGCCTTTTTAAAAGACGTTTTAAAGCATAATTAATTTAATGGAATTCTCGGCTGAAAAACGCTTAAGCTCTAGACCATAAGTTTGGTATGATTTAAAACTGAATTGATGGTTTAAAGCATGGGCTTCGCTCAAAAGGAGAAAAAATTCAACTGACTTGAATACTGAGTGTTTCGTTTTCGGATCTTTTATCTTCAATTTTCCCACTAGCCGCCACGTTTTACCTCGCAAAGTTTCCTGGTAGTTTATGACGTCAATATGACAGCGTGAAGGATTTTAAAGCGTGTAAAGCTTTTATTAGAAAAAAGTAAATAAACTAAAAAAGCAGTTAAGAATCTGCCCCTTTCATAATATTTTATTCACTACTTCGTAGCAAGTAAAACTTCACAGTCCACAATCCTTCCACCTCTTGATCTAAAGCTGTCATCATCCACAGAACAAAGTTCAAATATTACTCCAGGGGCAGTCCTAATGCCTTGAAAAGAAAAGCGTACTCCTTTGCTGCCTATGAAAACAGTGACAAAAGAAATATAAAAAAAAAACAATTACTTTTCAATATTTTCTTCATATTTTTTTAACACAATTTGATAAAAGTGGTTTGACTAGTGGCAGGGCTTGGATGTTGCTTGCATATGAGAAATGGTACCGCTGTGCATTGTAAATGTAGTTCTGTAAAAGCGCAGTGTAGATACCAGTACCTTAATCTTAAATGTGCTTACATTAATTTTTGTATTACATTACTTGCGGTTATCGAATAAATAAAATTACACTGGAACCTCGATTTAACGAAGTGTCAAGGGACTGGAGAAATTGGTTCGTTGTATGGACGGTTTGCTCTATCGAAAACCTCGATTTAACGAATTTGCGGTAAAACAACCAAAATGTTCAAAATGCTTTTTCTTTCCTTTCATTTTTTTTTTTTCGGCGTGACGTTGCGCTATCTAACATTTTGGGAAGAACAGTACTCAATCGATCTCTCATCGACCGAAAATTCGTAGGGAGGAGTTAGACTGAAACTGGAAATTGATTCAATACAAGTTAATTCAAGACAAACTGAAGTCCATTCGATACATAAAAAAAGTCGACTAGATACAATTCAAGTCATTTTGATACAAAGGTATATTTGGCGTTCGCTACTTCTAAGAAAACAGAACTAAAATAAGACGTTACTGAAATAACCTTAAACGTTGGTGAAACAACCTATGAGACATATGTGAAATGACTTGAGACATTGGCGAAACAACCCAAGATGTAAGCGAACTGGTCGTTAGCAAGACGACTCATACTTGTACATGCTTCATGCTATAGGTATCAGAACTAGTATCACTCTACCAATAACTGCCATTTGGATTGAAAAAATCTTAAGTAGTAAATTATGTGAAGCTCCTTTAAGCAGTATGGAAAAGAAATCAAAGAATGTAATAAAAGTACCTTTTCAATTCTGTGGTACACTCCTTCTGTTTCTGAGTGTCCTCCATAGTATTCAACATGACAGACTACCAGGGGCTTTTCTCCCTGGGCATGGTGAGACAACTGATCTCTTAGTCGAGCGACCCACTTCAGGGGCAGCCAGTAAGGCACACGATCATCATTCATTGCCGTGGTCACCATCACTGAAGGGTACACCTGTGGAAGACACAATATTAACAATAAAACAGTTTATATATAATAAATTCGTTTAACTGCATCCTGTAGTCATATCCATAAAAGATGAGGTATCGAAATGGTTGGTACGCTGAAAACCAGGCCGGGTTCATCAAAGCGCGATTAAGCTAACCGAGGGTTGGCCAACAATTTTTAAATTTAATCCTAACTATTTAAACATAAAAAGATTTGCATCACTGGGCCAGAACTTTACCTGATCTTTAATGTTCTGGTACGGACAGTAGGATTTAATGTAATGAAAATCACTTTCATTGGACCTGAAAATAAAATTGCATACGTTCAGTCAATAATTGAAATGCTCAAGACCAGGAATGCACGGATGACTGGACTTACAGAGAAAGTGTCTCAGATGATGTTAAGCTAACGAGCAGAGTCTCATTAGTGCTTTGATCGCATACGCCATGCCATTTGTGTCAAAGCTCCGATGAGAGCCTACATGTATGTACAGGCTACAGATGATAGTACTGGTCAGGTCTTTGTCGAGAGCAGTCTGTTTCAGGAATAATGAACAAAGGGGTATGTTTCTAAAGAAACTGTGGTGCTGCATCGTTGGGAGAGTACAACAAGATTATTTGGTATTATCAACTGACTTGAAAATGTTAATTAGCCACCATAAAGAGTTTCGAAGCCGACGTTTCGGGCGTTAGCCCTTCGTCCTCATTCACTCTGAAGAAGGGCTAACGCTCGAAACGTCAGCTTTTAAACTCTTTACGGTGGCCAATTTCCGCTATCAACTCAGTTGATAACACTAATTAAATTACCCTGTTTCAGGACTAGCTAAGAAATCACAGAGATCTCCTACAAACTTTAAAATAATCTTGGATGCATTTTCTACTGACAAGTACATTTTAATGACACTGAACAAATATTTCATACCCAGGTTCACCCCACTCTTCATATTCCTGAACTGTCAATGGAAGAGAAGGATCCAACATTGACGTCAAAATATCTAAAAATGGAACCTGTCAGAGGAAGCTCTGATTAGCAGAGTAACAATGCCTTGTAACCAAAGAACTGATACATCAAAAGAGTTTTCTAAAAGATAGAGGATGGTAAAAATTGATTTTAAATACAATTAAGTCTCGAAAAAAAATTGCGTTCACTTTTTCTCAAACTCTAGACCTGATGAAATCCTGAAGGACAATTTATCAACTGAGAGTTCAAAGCTTAGTTGGGATCCATCCAGTAACAAAAAGCCAACAATAAAACTAGGTGAATATGAAAGCCATCTTCGCAGTAATTAACACTACTTAAGCAGCAGTGAAAACATAGCCTGAAAAATTCAGGCCAGAACGGGATTTGAACCCATGGCCTCTGCGATACCGGTGCAGTGCTCTACCAACTGGGCTAACAAGTTAACTGGGAGCTGGTCATCATGTTGGTTCGTAACAAACCCATGAAATGATATTTCATATATTCACAGTCAATTAACATTTAACCATAGTTGTCATTATCATCAACATTATTTTAGTCAACACTGTCATCATCATCTGCATCAACCTCATTTTAATCATCACCGTTAACAATTTATCGTCAAAAAAAAGCAAAGACAAAAACAGCAACATACTACGTTCTATAATAGTAGTCTAACCTTAAGAATAACTGCCTTAAATAACTCAGGTGATCTGTTACAGACGGCTCCCACTATCAATCCCCCTGCACTTGTCCCGCGTGCTGCCGTTAACTGTGGGTTGGAATACCCCAAATTATGCAGTGCTTTAGCACAAGCTTCAAAATCCTGCAAGGTGAAATACCTGTCATTTTTCGATAAAATACTCTGAAAGCAACAAAATTTATGAGCTGTAAATGACACCTATTATCCAATGACAAGTATATACCTCAAAGCCTTTATGTTTATTCTGTAACTTTCCATCTAAGTACCACTCCCGTCCAAGTTCTCCTCCACCTCTGTAGAATACAGATCTCATTTTTATTTAATATGAAATGTTTATTACAGTAAGAAACCTGGAAAATATGGCAGCGCGGAGCTGATGAGCAATTGCCTGTCTATTCTCATTTCTGTTCGCATTTTAATCCCACAATTCATGACATTCAATAATAATTGATTCAAAATGAAATCTTGGAGAACATAATTGAGCAAAAAAAGATTACTAAAAAAATCAACAGCCCCACTTGCTAAAGTTTCTTCCCAGTCACATGGGTCAGATCATTATGATAGCGGAGCTCGCAGAGCGTAGCCCGATAATTATACAAAATAGTAGTAACCCATCAAGCCGAAAAAATTTGGATGTACGACCGTACGACCGTACAAGGTGCTACTTTTAACATGCGTGGTCAACTGTACCGCGGGCACGCCAACACCACGGCTTTGTTCAGTAGTCCAGTGGTCAGTGCACTGGGCTCCGAGTCAGACAACCCGGGTTCTAGTCCTGGCCGGGGCAAAGCGTTGTGCCCTTGAGACGTGCGAGAAAAAAAATGCGAGCTCCGCTTTTAGGCTTGGCTAAATCTATATATTAAATAAATTACCTGACATGACAGAAAGCAAGACACCATCCCCGTTTTAACAGACTGATCCTTTCCACATCAAAACCCATGTTGACATTGATACCATAGGAACCTACAACAGACAGGTTATCAATTATATAGTGCACAGTAATTCACCTCGAGGTAGATATATTTGAGAAAACTGTTAATTGATCCTTTTTTTTTTAATTTTAATTTTTTATTGTGCCACAGTAAACACTACAGTCCTGTACGTCACAGGAACTACATCACATCACATAGCGATGTTAATAAAAAGGAAAGAAAAAATTAGATCAATGAGCAAATAAAAGGGGTACTGGCCACACAAAATAAGCAAGGAAATTAATTAAAATGAAAAAAAAGGGGGAGGTTCCAGTGCCTTAAATTTTTCTTTCTTTTAACATTGTTTAGATGCTACTTACTATCAAACTAGACTATTTTTGGCAAGCTATATGTTACGAAATGATACATTAAGTGTTTTCGATTAAGAACATTTGTTAACAAGCAGTGTAGAGGAACTATGTCTTATCGATTTTCAAAGCGTAATAAACATTCTGAAGGTAAGACTTCCTCAAATGTGCCGCTGATAAAGCTTACTTTCTTTACGTGTAAGTAAGGCAAGTTTTGAAAAAAAAAAGGGAAAAAATATAGTCATCACCATAAACATGTAGAAGTAGGGGATTGCTTCCTTCCTTTTTTAGATCTTTGTGATGAAATAACGTGACAGGTATGTGAGTTCCATCCTAATGCACCCAAAATAAAAGCCAACATCATCGTCACTAAATTTTATGTGACCTCTCATACGAAAAAACATACACTAACTAAGGCCTATCTTTTGAAATAGCTCAACCTGTTGGTTATCTGTTTGGTATTTTAAAAAATGTTTACAATAATTGCATGATACCGAAATCTTATGGCTGACCAATGTGTTTTGACAAATGGGATGAATTTTAAAGACATTCTTTCAAATTATTGTGTAACCTGTAGTTAGGGTAGTGCAGCCCACTATTTCAATTTTTTTTCCTTTACCCAAACTCATTGTTGCAGAAAATCACCAAATATTCTGAGCAGGAATTACAGTGTAAATGGATTTTCCAGTACTTGTTTTGTTGCCATTTGGAGATACATGTACATGTATGCCACGTTGTTTAATTCATACAATCATAAATTTTCATTGAAATTGGGTGTTCTTGACACAAAAACGTCTAGGATCACTAGCCTGAGTACAGTAGCCTCTTTCCCTTCAGAAATTAAATCAAGAATGAGGTGCAGCTGTGAAAACACTTGGGATGAAAAGCATTTTAACAACTACATCCTTTATGAATTGTACATATTCACTTTGCCAAAACCCTAACAGCCATATGAGTTCCCATCAAGTTGCAGCAGTTTTATATCAACAAAAATATTATCATTATTATCACTGATTTGAATCAATCAAAGCACAATGTATCTTACTTTACTTTGTATTTCAAGTCGGGTGCAGCAAAAGTCTGAGCTGTCAAAAGATGGCAAAACAGAGAAGCTATGTTTTTCAACCTGAGGAGAAGTAAAGATTAAGGTAAGAATAATGCTTGTTGATCTAAATGATGATACAATAATTAAGGGGAAGGTGGCTCGGAAAGAACAACAAGGAAAAGCATGCTGGGGAAGAAAGGACGTAAAAAAAGTTTTCAATAAAGTATGTGACAGAAGTCTCTTATAAAATTTGGGGGCACAAGTGTCACTTCACCTTAAAACAAAGAGTGCTTCTTTGCATCCTTCACTTATTTTTTTTAAAAATGATGTGTTAAACGTCAAATGTCAAAAAGTACATTTAGCATTACACATCTCACTTCCATGAGTAACCAAAACAGAATTTCTCCTTACAACGTCAATACAATATCAAGCAGACAATTGATGAGAATAAAGAAAAATATCAATTAGGGGATTATTTAAGTCTCTTCAATACCAAATTCTCCCAAATAACACTCTAAGAATTGAATCGCAGACAGTAAGAAGAATTACTAATGAGATATTGGGATTGGCCAGGTTGATAAACACTGAGGGTTACCAGGTATGAAATTAAATTCTACAGCAATCTTTATCAATGTAATGTGATGTTAATTTAGTGTCCTATGACCTGAAGTTTTTCTTGCTGAGAAGCTAATTCAACACTGTCTTATAACCTCGACGTACCATTGACTTGGTCCCCATGTTATACTCCAAGACTTGAGCTGGTAATATTGGTGAGGAAACTGTTAGTCGCACACTGTCATGATCAAACATCTAAGAGGAAAAGGAAAATTATTGCCAAAAATATTTCCCATCAGAAATGGACAGCATGGACATCTGCACAAATATACCTGTATATGCAGAATATTTTTTTAACAAACATATCATAAATTACCAGATTGGATCCAGCTTCTAAAACACAAACATCTTCAGGAAGCTGCAATATAGAAAAATTTAAACAAAAATCAAGTCATGTACTGAAAGGAGGTACAGTGGGCTCAGTGCCAATTGTAAGTGTGCCCAGGGAGGGAAGGGGGAGGTTACTTGGGTCAAAGTTTGCTGGGTATGTGCCGCTAGCTTCTCAGAACCCCAACCATTATACATGTAGCTCATTTTTTTACCATTTATAGACTGAACCAATCTAAGTCACTTTTGGGCAAATGTAATTTTTGTGATCCCAATTTAGTCACTTTCTCTGAATGCATCTCCCTGTTGAAGCTTTTTGAGTTTAAGGACTTGTTAAACTGAGTGTAGACCACTTTACTTTTCACATACAGTACAAACATTCTGGTACATTTGCTAATCGCAAATCTTCCCATTTATGAATTCCTACATACCAGAATTTTTTTGTCACCAAAATCACAAAAATGTGTGACCCCATTCTAGTAACTCTATTGAAAATGCAACCCCATTAGAGTCAATCCAGTCTCATTAAAAGCAACCCCTTCCAGCAGCACATCCCCATAAGCAATTTACTAAATAAAAATGCAGGGCTCCAAGTTCAATTTTTCAAAAAGTTGCACTTTGGCAACCATCAATATTGTAAAATGGTTGCCATAAATTTTGGTCAAGACATGTATCTGGGAGTTACAGAACAGTTTGTTTGCATTTAATCTTTGATAATTCGACCAAGGGTTGATAAATTTTTTGCATTTTTTCCCTTTCTTTTTTTCAAACCTGTCAGTCACCAATTGGCAACTTTTGTTGAAATTTTAGCCGCCAAATATATCTTTCTCTTGCCATGGCAACCAAAACGGTTGCAACTTGGAGCTCTGTAATGACCCCCTGTGGGTCTGGGTTGGTCCCTTACAAGTTAACCAAGTTGTATTTTTGGCAAGGCACTTCACTCCTTGCTACCTCTTGATCCAATCATTTCAATCACAGTGCATAAGAATGGTTTTTTTAATTTTTTTTAATTTTTTTTAATTTTGCCATTTTGTAATCATGATACATAAGTGGAAATAAAAAAGAAATTACATATTAGGGTGGCTTAGGCTCAAGTACCAGCTGCTGTTCAGGAATATGAGCCCATGCTCAAGTTGTTCATTAAGAAAAATTTTCTATCATCACCAACATTTTATGAGTACAAATGGTTTGTCACAACTTGAAAGTTTTGGTAGAAGCAGACAAATCTTCAAACACACCCATGACAAAATTTGTCCTTTGATTTTGTTGGGACAATTCTAGCTTTGTTCAACAGTGCAGAAAGGCCTTAAGGTTGGCTCAGCACCATTTCAACATATTGCATTTGGATGGTACAAAAAATTAAGAGCTTAAAATTCCTTCTACAGTACCTGCACTACATACTGATCTTGAGGTGTATCTAGTGGTACAACACGGAGCTGGGGAATTGTTTTACATCTCTCATATACCACACAGTAGTTCTGAAATATATCCATATCATCTAGGAAATTCTGGAAAAAAATCAAATCAAACACATGTAAGAATAACAAACAAATTAATAAGCCGTTGATTTTTAATTTACAAAACAAACTATGTTCTGACTGTTACCTCTGCTTTGTCTTTAATAAATGTTTGCCAGTTTTCCTTTCCTGGATTGCTCTTTGGTGCAGCCATCACCTAAATAAAAACATGAACATTCAAAACTGCTCTCATTTGAAAAGTCCTTACAATTCTCAGTTTCATTAGCAGTTGAATCACCTTTGAGAATTGCTTTTTCTTTCATATGGTATGTTAAATTCATGAAGGTATCACCCCACCCCACCCCACCCCCCCTGCTGCAATTCACCAAGAGAGCTATAAAAGTAAATCTTCAGTCAAATCCTTGATGAAATAAGAGAAGGAGTAGGAAACCTAATGATGGATAACTTGGGTCACCTGTGCTCTTAACCAGGTAGCCCCTACAACTTCCAGACTTTACAAAGAGAAGTTTGTATGACTTTTTGTTGCAGGATGATTGAAAACTTTATTATTGTGCCATGCATATACTTACTCGATAGTTTTTTTCATCCGCATTTGTTATTATATAAAACTGATCATCTCTATGATCCACATAGTATTCCATCCCCTGTTGCCTCGGGTGGAGAGGTTTACAAACAAATGAACCATCCTTGATGTCTACAATGCTAACCTAGAAAAAGGAATACAGTAAGTCAAATTAAATGATTTCTTTCTCTCTTTTTTTTTCCTTAAAATTTACCAAATTTTTACTTAAATTCATACTCTACTTGATGAGCAGAATTCAAGAGATCTTACATAAGAGATCCTGCCAGAAGCTAGAGGGAAGGAGTGAGGAACATACCCTGTACTGCTATTCTTCCAGAACATACATGTATACAACAGGCTTGTTTAAACCCAGGCTTTGGCAAATAACCTTGCCTGTTATTGTATATTCTGTTTCAGAGTGAAGAGTTGTATCAAGTATACCATAAATAAAATATTATTTTTTACAACTAAGCATGCAATATCAGATTGTTTATCAGACAGGAGCCTGTTTAACAATGTTAACAGAGTTGGATCAATATCAGTATCCAAGTAACTACCCACCTACCCCTCCCCTAACCCAACAACAGTCTATTGATAACAAGTTAGGTTTAATGTTGGGTTAGGGGAGGGGTAGGTGGGCAGTTGCCCAGATACTGATATTGATCCACAGTGTCAAAGCAGTTCAAAGAGAAGCAAAGGCCATTTAGGTCTGCTCAAACATGTCCACTCTTGTAACACTAAGAAATTTGTTGTCTGAAACTTTTTTGGCAAGGCTGGGTGCTAAGATTGATGCATAAGAGGAGGTTTATATGTCTTCAATTAAGTCATCGCTGACTTGGATAACAGACTTACCTCAGATGTTGACCTTGAGTTGCAGTTGATTGTAATAAATTCCCTGTCTTTAGTAGCACTTACATCAACAATAAATCTATGGAAAAGATTAGTTAAATACCAATGTAATTCATCAAGGAAGATCAAAACATTCACTGTATCACACTTCTCGCAATTGAAATGTTCAAGAACAGCAAGAATAGTGATGGACTTTACACCCAATAGAGGAGTGCCAGTATAAAACGGCATTGAGATATTGTAAAAGTGGGTTATTTTCCATAAATGTATTCAACCTTATCAGGAGAATTCATACAAAACTGTGCAATAAAAAATCATTTTGACCTACCTTTCATCTTTCTCTTCATGCAGAACAACATCTGTTAGAACACTCTGACAGGTTTTGTGCATTAACACAGCAAATGGTCGATTTTGTTCATCTGGTCTGCTGTAGTAAATGGTGAGGTCATCACATCCCCATTCTAAAAATTGAAAGGAAATATTCATAATTATTATTAATGTTAAAAACCTCACCTTTTCCAATACTTGTTCTGAAGTGCAAACACATTGCAAAGGGAAATTGGAAGGCCATTAGTTCTTGCCTGGCTATATCCTGATCATGGGTCCCAGTTTGAGTCCAGAAAAGGGTCACTGTATAGTATTCTTGAGCAAGACAATTTACATGTACTCTCAGAGTTCTGTTTCTTTGAAACCAGGACAAGATCAAAGCCAAACAAACAGCATCTATTTATAAAATTTTATAAAATCATTTTCAGAAAAAGCAATGACTCTTACTAGCAATTCACAAAACTCACCAAAATTTACAACATTTGGTATGGCATCAATAAAATTTATGATCCCTTCATGTGCCTCAGTAACAAACAAGGTGTACATCCCAGTATTACTTTTGTCCAGCAAAAAGCCTATGTACTATAAAAACAGATTGGAATACATGACACTTGTTTCCTCAAACTGTTTCTTCAATGAGCCCATTATAAAATAAAGCAGAGTTCAAAATAATAATCCAATGTGCAAAATAAATCACCCCTTTAACTCCCAAAAGTGGTGAACATGTAACTTCTCCATACATCATCCAGCAAACAACTAAATGAGAATACTCAAACTCATCAGGAAGAAGTTGTTATCTTGATCTAATGCCAAATTCTTGTTATTAACCCTTTAACTCCCATGTGTGACCAAGAAAGAATTTCTCCTTACAATATCAACACAGTATCAACCAGATAAGTGATGAGAATAAAGAAAAATATCATTTTGGGGATAATTAGTTGATCCAATACTAAATTCTCTGAAATAACTTTATAAGAATTGTATGGTTGACAGTAAGGAGAATAACAAATTTGAACTGGGAGTTAAAGATTTGATAAATTAATTACAAGGAAATGTGTATCAGCCAGAGGGGAGAATTGATGTTGGGGAGTAAAGGGTTGAAGAAATTTCATGAAAATGGACAAAGAATTCATCACATGAAATTCAGCAAAACACGTTTAGCAGGTAATTTAGTATTGACAACTGAGTTGAAAACATAAACTGCAACCACTCTGACTAAGGGCTAATACTCAGAACGTCAGCTTTTTACCCTTTACGATGGCCAATTTACGTTTTCAACTCAGTTGTTAACACTAAATTACCTGCTATACTCTCCCACCGATGCAGTACCACAGTTTCTTTAGAAACTTAATACCCCCTTTATTCAAAAAATGTTTAGTTTGTCAAATATTTAATTAACACATTTATCATAAATACTATACTTACCCTTCCTGAGGGAGATATTTTAATTCTTGGTATTGAAACATAATTGTATCGTTCTTTTAATTCATTCTGGTCTAGTATTGTTTCTGGGTCACCATATGAACCATCTATAGATAATTAAAGTAACAACAACATAAATGACTGAATAAGTAAAAGAAAAGGCAATCAGTTACAAACCAAAGTTAACAGCCAATCAGAAATAGGCCATTTTACAGTTGTGTACTTAGTTGCCAAGCCTTTGATTTGGAGTGAGGCTGAAGGTGACCTTGTTGTGTTAGAGACCAGAATCTAGTTAGCATGATAACAAATGAATTTGCATTTCAAAAGCAGCAAGGTTTGTATCATAACAAGGTCACCTTAGCCTCACTCCTGTTCAAAGGCTTGGCAACCAAGCACACAACTGTAAAATGGACTATTGTTGTACAGTGAAAATCATGCTCATAAATATCATGATCATAAGCTACCAGCTTGAAGTAAGGGGAAAAGTACAATGCAACCAAAAAAATCTAAATTAACAGAAGGTTGGAAATCTAACTAATACCCCATTCACACCAGCAAAACATGTTTTGTTAAACTGGTTTTCATTGAATGAAAATTATAAACAGAGAACTGAAAAACTTGATTTTCCATTGGATTCAAGTACTAGCTAACTTGTATTTCCAATGTGCTACATTCAAGTCAAAAATATTCGGTTAAATAGTTTCTATGAAGAAAAAAAAAATTAAACTGTGTTTAACAAAACAACTTTTAAACATGTTTAAGCTTTGGTGTGAATGGGGCATAAGAATCACTAAATGCCATACAAAACAAAGCAATCTTTTTTCTTTTGTCCCACTCAATGAACTTTTGGACATACTGACAGACTGAAAGTCTTCATTAAAATTTTATAACAAAATTAATTTACTGGTGACACATTTGATAAAAAATTGTTTAATTACTGGTGATATTGATACCTTCTAATATTTTTCTTCTACAATACACAGGTAGGTAAGAGTCTTTGGGAGGATTGCTCAAATAATAGATATAACCATCTAGCTCCTGCCAAAAAATACAGAACTGATTGAGTTAAGTGTCATAATGATTTGAAATAAAATAAAGAATATCAAACCCAAATTTTACAACAAGGATAAATAGTTGCTGCCTGTCTTTCCTGGCACCCTTGAATCAAGATTGTTCCAGACAACCAGTACTTCCATTCAGAATAAACTGGCTTCAAACAGAGTTTTCAGTGTTACTTTTGTTGATGATCATTAAATATTTGTCTCCTTTGTAACAATTGTTTAACTTATCATTTTATTGGCTGGAAATGTATGAAATGTATGCTCAAATATATGATAAGACTATATTAATCATTTTTATCAAATCTTGTTTGTAAAGGAGAAAGGCTACTGAAGAATTCTAGAATGAAATGGTGATAAGACATTATCAAAGTACCTTACCTCAGGGTACTAAAATCTACAGAAGCTCTACAGGGTGTGAACCAGTAAAATAGCTTTAAAGTAGACTTTTCCTTCTTTTATCATCTTGAGGATTTATAATCATTGACCCTTTAACCCTTGGATTGACTAACATCTGATTTCTCCTTACAGTATTATCTCTGAGTCAAAAATTAAGGTCATGAGAATAAAGGAAATGATCACCAACAAAAGAAGCTTTAGACTGTTAGTCAAATTCTTCTTATCAGTATTATCAGAAATGTACAGAGAACAGTATAGAGAATAGGCATCCTAATGAGAAGATGTAAAGGGTCCAGTAGTCATAATAACTGTGCTTCTGAGGAAATTCTTCAAGACTGATGACTTGTAAACTTACTTCTGGAACAGACTCATCATCAAAATGCTTATGAAACCAGTCTTTCATCTCATTTGTCAGATTCTCCTGGAAAGCTTCTGTATCAGACAACACAGCATCACAATATCTATGTATATAATTTTATATATAAGCATATGTCAAAAGAGAATTAATAATAAAAAAACACCTAAATGGGTATTTTTCTAAGTGGAAAAATTATGAAGAAAAAAACAGAAGGGATAAATATTGTTTCTGCTGAACCTGAAGCGGGTTTCATTACAATGAGTGCAATTGTTTAAGCTAGCATTAAAGACCTACTGTACATGTACATGAATAAAGTATAAAATATATGCAATACAGTAGTGCAACAATGAAGATATAGTAAAGTCGGCAAATCTCACCTGTTTTCTTGTTTGACATAATTGCGTACAGCCTAGGAACAGAAAAGAAAGGTATACACTACTCAAAGGCATAGTACATGTACAGTCATGTAAATGACTAGTAAAAGTCAACTACATTGCATTTGCAGAGACCATCCCTGAACTTCCCAGAAGTGCACATTGGGCTGCTCATATTTACGAAGGGAAAGCAAAAAAAACAGCTTAAATCTTGCCCTTGCCATCTGTTTAAAGCAGAGCTACTCCTTGCATGAATGTCTGACTGAACATGTGATGCACAGAGACTGTTTTGTGAGATGTAGTTCTGCTTCTATCAGTGAAATTCCAAATTAAGATTTAAATCAGCTGTTGTTTGCTTTCCAGTAATCTCAGGCAAGATTTCCACATGGCCCTATGGACATGCATTGGCTTAGTGAGCAGTGCAGTGGACTCTAGATCCAGAGGTCAGGGTTCCAAATCTGGCCAGGTGTTGTGTTCTTAAGCAAGACACTTTCCTCTCATAGTGTGTCTCTCCAACCAGAAGAGTAGAAATGGGTACTGGCTAACTGTCAGGACGCCTGATGAAATTCTGGGGGACGGGGGGGACAATAAAATAATAATGATAATAATAATAAGAAATTGTGAACTAAGTGGGGGGGGGGGGCATGGTCAGGGGCCAGGGTCAGGGTTAGGGGTTTTACCTGGTGGCTATCTACCCCACCCACCCTTCCCATCCTGGGAAAGCCATTGATACGATGTAGCACAATATGCATACTTCTATAATATCAATATTCTTTGAGAAAACAAAACAACGGTGAAAACTTTGTTTTAAAACAGCGTGTAGGGAGTTGGTCAAGAGTGTATTGTAGCTACACGTGACATAAAGAATATTTGCTTACCCTCGATCCACGATCTTTTAACCATTGAAACTCGTCCTGGATTTCAACACCATGCACCTTTAGGTAGCTGGGAACTTTTTTCGGTTTAGGCTCGCTGAATGAGCCTCCAAACAGCCTGGACAAAATACTGATTGAAGACAAACCTCGCAGAGCCACGCTGGAGTAGGGGCTGCACGCGGCAAAAGTGACGCTCTTGGCCAGGCGACTGACTTGCATATTTTTTTAATTAGTGGAAACAGAAGTATAACTTTGTGCTGTGGGATTCCATCTGCTTTGTTTAACGATCGCACTTGAAATATGTAAAGGAACGATCAATTCAACTGGATATTTCAATGCTCGTCCATTTTAAATCAGAAAGCTCACAACTGTTCAGCGGTTACGGTCGTAACGATGGTCGATAGTTTGTGAGTGTAGTAGACCTGAAACTTCTCCAGAGAAAACAGGAACGCTCGTTGTTAGGAGAAAAACAGGTAACTACCTCGCTCCTGTGGTGAAAGCGTAAACTTCGGCACAGTTTTCTTTAAATAGGTAAAAGCCTGATGTTTTTTAAAGTTTATTTTTTGATTATTTGGCTGCAAGATATTATAAACTCTTTCTAATCTCTTGTTGGGTGCAGATTGGTGGCTACTCGCAACCAGTACAAAGGGACCGGTCATTTTTTATCACCTGTGGGGTGGGGATCGGTGGATTTTGGTTGTGTCACAATAAAATTTATCAGATCTCCCCCAACGATCGTTAGTCTTCTTATGATCCTACTTTATTGGCTGTCAATTCCCTCTTCATACTTGTAGCGACGACTAACCCTCCCCTCTCCGTCCCTCTTAAAAACCACGTGATCCCCTAGAATCCTCCGCTCCCCTCCCCACTCAGGCGACAATAGTGACCGATCTCCAACAACATACAAAAGACTTTAAGCATGGTAAATTTTAATGATCTGTCGTTTCGCGCAAAATCATTTTAAGCTTACTTTAGCCGGAAAGGGGAGTTTTTTGTTTCTTTTTTGATACCGTGGTTCTAGAATAGTTGACTAATGATAAACTGAAAATGGTATAAAAAACTGGGCGAAACTACCGAAAGACTAGATGTTTAAACAAGTACGAAGAGAGTGAACATAAGCACTTACATAACAGTCCCGCTTGTAAAAGTTTGACCAAAACGAACTTCGAGATAAGGTGGGCAAAAGGGCGACTTTCGATAAACACGTCTTATCGTTAGCCCAACGCAAGATAACTAACTAAAATGCGGTTCTGGGTGGAACT